TAGATCCTTTCGAGTGGCATTTACTGGTTGGGATATGTATGGCGAACATACGAAGCCACATGGCTGTATGCAAATTATCAGATCGTATATATCATAGACTTGAATCGAAACGTGGCTCATGTACATTAGATATAGTACATTCGCTGTCTACCTGACAGCCCGACGTGCTATTTGATGAGTTCGGTGCATATCTCGCAAGGTGGTCAATGAGTGTAGATGCCACGTGCTCGTGATAACGTCAGCACTTATATATAAGCGCGGTGGGAACACCTTATAGCCACCCGCGACTCAACCGAGCTCTTATCTCGACCATTATCGATAGGGCACTAAAGTACAGTACTGCGTACAGATACATCGACTTGCGACAGCCACTTGTATGGTCTGCATTACCGCACATGTGTTCATGTCTACGTAGACAGCAACGTATCGTAGCGTGTAGTACTCACTTAATACTGTAGTTTCAATTTGTGAGCGCCCATTAGTGGAATACGCGCTGTGAAAAATTGATAATTCATACAGCATGATTTAGCTTATGTCTCAATGAGTGAGTGTACTTGTCGTCTACGTGACGTGTATGCGGATAGGAACGGCCAGCTTGCGGCCGCCCACAGTAGATACCATGTGCTAACTATCATATGAAACACGTAACGTTCTTTAGGTGTTGCAACACGCTTGGTAGCGCCACAGTCAGCTTACAGTATGTGCGACCCCAAGCCTTGCACCGTCAGCCAGTATACAAAACTATGCGGGGTAAGGGGATATAAGGATGTATATCCAAATCACCTGCTCTTCTGCTGCTTTTTTTGCTCAATGTACCTGACGTTTCGGGCGGTCAGCTTGCGAGGGCGGCTGTGTCTTTTTTTCTTCTTGAGGTACCAGTCAGGGCCCATCACCTTCCCGACGTTTGGCAGGCTTTCCTGGCGGCGCACTTCGGCCGAATCAGGTGGTGGAAGCTTTTCTCCCAGAACTTAACCGCTTTTGGGCCGCTCTTGCAGGCAATACAGCGCCGCACGATGTCCCGCCCGCTGATTGTACGGATCGTAAGGAGCGCATAACCGTACTGCAGCTTCCCGCAGCAGACGCAGCGCGCTCGGGGGTCTGTCGTAGACCGCTGCGGGTTCAGCAGAAGCGGGTCAATCTTCGCCTCGCATTGCTTGCACGTAGGGCCCACCATTTTGCAAACTGTGCCTATGTTAGCAAATTGTATTGTTTTAATCAATTACTTGCGTCCAAAAAATATTACCCAATAGCACGGTACTGTAAGGCTGGTATTTATTATTTAAAAATATTAAAAATTTAAAATATTACTATTTGCCTTTGCTATAATATATTATTATCAGATTTTTAAACAAATACATACTTTACATGCAATTTAATTGACTAAAACAACTATCTATCGTGCGCGCATGCATTCGTCGGGTGGGGTGCACGGGAGCAGATAGCGCAATGACCGTGCAGCCGCGCCCTTCATTGCACGGTGGAAGTGGTGAGTGCCAGACGTAAAAAATATATATATTCGCAAAGTCCCTACAAAAAGCGCTGGTCGTGAAGCCTACTTAAGGGTGCAGAGATCTTAGAAAATAAAGTGGTTACTGTGCCCGATTTGCAGTACTTACGACAGGTTTTGCGTAGCTGAACGTGCTCGGCAGAAATATTTACCTTACGTCCAATCGCGAGGGAGAGAGGCGGTCTGATCGTGCGACAGATCCAGTCAGTGTCGCAGGTCGGCAATTATTGCCCAATCAGGGCGCGAGTTAATTGTGTGACGCTTTTGGATATATTTGTAATTTTTGCATAGTAAGGTCGAGTCAGAAAGGTAGGTGCGGTCGGTAAGATGGGGCGAAAATGTAGTAGACGGGCCGGGTGTAGCCATGCGAAAAGGCAGGAGAAAGCAGCAAGAAAGGAAACGGACGGACTGATTGACAGACGGACGGACAGACAGGTTACTCGGTAAGGAAGCGAGAAACTAGCGCTCTGGGCGCCCGCTCCGCGGACGCTAGGGCATAGTTGGTTGGTGAAGAGAGGGCCGACCGCCTCCGCTGCGCTGCGGTGGGCTTAGAATATCTACTTAGAGCGAGGCTACAGATAATATATGTATACTGTGATCTACTTATGCTACGTTCCAAAACAACACCGCACACAATATTCTCAGTGCTAACATGCTATGGTAAACATGACCAGGATTTAACGTGATCTGCAAGATGAGCACCATCTTACCCGGGAAGGTTTTGGCTATCATCCCGTTTGAACGTATAGCTCCTGAAACAACACGAATCAGAGGTTGCGTGGTAGCAAATGTAATATATGCTGTGCGGAAGACGGGTCAGCACCAATGATGATCCCAAATTAGCATAGATAGGTGAGGCATTCCAGTGTAGCTGGAGTAAATACGCCTACTCAAACATATTACCATCCGCACGTCATCGCCGTGAGGCAGTCGACACGATATCTTTGATTGCGACGGTCTATTAGAGCAAGGTTTGTTCGGCTCCTCGCGCGAAGTACAGGTACTATTTGCCGATGGTCGCCACAGACACCAATATTATGCCTTATTATCGTTCCGCTGAGCTCTTTATGATAGTACTGAAGGGTCTTTCAACTATCTTCCGCATGCATTGATCTTACTTGTATAGCTGACTTACTTACTGATTTGCATAGCTACTGACTGACAGAGTTGCGTAGATCCTTTCGAGTGGCATTTACTGGTTGGGATATGTATGGCGAACATACGAAGCCACATGGCTGTATGCAAATTATCAGATCGTATATATCATAGACTTGAATCGAAACGTGGCTCATGTACATTAGATGAAGTACATTCGCTGTCTACCTGACAGCCCGACGTGCTATTTGATGAGTTCGGTGCATATCTCGCAAGGTGGTCAATGAGTGTAGATGCCACGTGCTCGTGATAACGTCAGCACTTATATATAAGCGCGGTGGGAACACCTTATAGCCACCCGCGACTCAACCGAGCTCTTATCTCGACCATTATCGATAGGGCACTAAAGTACAGTACTGCGTACAGATACATCGACTTGTGACAGCCACTTGTATGGTCTGCATTACCGCACATGTGTTCATGTCTACGTAGACAGCAACGTATCGTAGCGTGTAGTACTCACTTAATACTGTAGTTTCAATTTGTGAGCGCCCATTAGTGGAATACGCGCTGTGAAAAATTGATGGTACATACAGCATGATTTAGCTTATGTCTCAATGAGTGAGTGTACTTGTCGTCTACGTGACGTGTATGCGGATAGGAACGGCCAGCTTGCGGCCGCCCACAGTAGATACCATGTGCTAACTATCATATAAAACGCGCTACGTTCTTTAGGTGCGTCAACACGCTTGGTAGCGCCACAGTCAGTTTACCGTATGTGCGGTCCCAAGCCTTGCGCTGCCCGCCGGTATACAAATTACAAAGATAAGCGGGGTTAAGGGCCTAAAAGAGTATATTTACCAATTACTTTCTCTTCTGCAGCTTCTTTGCTCGATGTACTTGGCGTTTCGGGCGGTCAGCTTGCAAGGGCGGCTGCGCTTCTTCTTCTTCTTCATCTTGGGGTACCAGTCAGGACCCATCGCCTTCTTGACGTTCGACAGGCTTTCCTGGCGGCGCACTTCGGCCGAATCAGGTGGCACGGGCTTTTCCTTCCAGAACTTAACCGCTGTCGGGCCGCTCTCGCAGGCAGTAACAGCGCTGCACGGTGTCCCGTCCACTGATTGTGCGGAGCGCGTAGCCACGCTGCAGCTTCCTGCAACAGGCGCAGCGTGCCCGTGAGATCATTGAAGATCGCTGCGGATTCAGCAGAAGCAGGCCAATATTGGCCTTGCACGTGAGCCTCGCCATGTTGCAAACTGTAAAGAAAATTTATAATTACTAACGTGCGTAAAAATATTAGGTATTCCAACGGATACTTACGGCTGGGTGTATAATATTTAGCAAAATATTAAATAGTATTATTATATCATAAACATTATATTATATTAGCCAATACACGGCCATTTAATGCTGGTATCATTATTAAACAAAAAAAATTATTGTAGTTTTTGGCAATAGCTTAAATAATGATTTTATTAATTTTAAACCAAACATACTTTTCAGCAATAACAACACCACCACGTAAGTACCGCAGTGCTGTGTCCGGGTGCAACGATAATAACGCAGAGGTCGTGGAGCCTCCTTTAGTAATAATAATACTAATAAAAATAGTATCGTCTCTACTATGAAAAACGTGTGGAAAATAACATCGCAGAGGTTTAACTGCATGGGCTGGTTACGGTGCCCGATTTGCAGTACATACGATACGTTTTGCGTAGCTAAATTTGTAGTTACGCAATTGTCAGCACATGCTTACATCCAATCGATGTGTTTCGTTCGCTGCACAAATGTTTACATTACGTCCAATCGCGAGGGCGAGAGACGGTCTGATCGTGCAACAGATCCAGTCAGTGTCGCAGGTCGGCAGGTATTGCCCAATCAGGGCGCGAGTTAATTGTGTCACGCTTTTGGATATAATTGTAATTTTAGCATAGTTAGGTCGAGTCAGAAAGGTAGGCGCGGTCGATAGGATGGGAGGAAACTGTATTAGACAGGCCAAGTGTAGCCATGCGAAAAGGCAGGAAAAAGCAGCAAGAAAGGAACCGGACGGACTTATTGACAGACGGACGGACACGCTACAAGGTTAGAAGCGGAGCGCAACTTGTGTGAAAACCGCACCGTCAAATAATAAAAATTGACTGAGGTGGCCGTTTAGTTGTGTCCAGGAGTGTACAGTATAATGTTATACATGTACAGTGTTAATCATGAGCCCCTGAAGTACCTGCGACATGTACTGAGGCCCACTGACATCGACCATTTTAATCCAGCCCACCCAAGTGAAAAACTACATGCAAAGATGTGATGCAGCATCGAACGCAAACCAAGTTGATTTTATTGGCTTGCACACATTCGAAAAGGTCTTGTTCAGACTGGTTGAGGCCACGACGCTGCCAAAAAGTTACACGACAGGCAGGATGTCGATCTTACCGGTCTTCTTCGAGCTGCAGGCGCCATCTTCCTCCACGATGTTCTGCTCCGGGTTCTTACAGGCAGCGATCTTGAGCTCACACGGGTTCGAGTACCGGACACCGTCGGAGCCGCAAACAGGTAATTCGACGTCAGGGCAGGCACTCGCACATTTCTTGCTAGGCGTCGAGTTGCCATCGTTAATGACACCTTCTGAGCCGTCCTCGTAAATTTGTCCAATGCCGCTCGAGGTGGTTGACGATGACTTAGTAGACTTCTTCGCCTTACCAGAGTCCTTCGTACCCTTCACCATTTTAGTCGCTGGCGATGGGCTGCTACTGTCTTCGCTAGCAGACGCGTCTTCATCATCTCTAGAATCATCGTCACGAGGCGCACCAAACTCCTTTCCGTAAATCCGCTTGTATTCATCCAAAACGTTCTCTCTCGGACCCTTGCACTTGGCGGCCTCCATAGAACACTTGTTGGGGTACGTCACGCCATTCTCGTCAGTCACGGGTTCATACACGTCAAGACACATGATGTTGGGGCAGTACGACTTAGGGGTGCCTTCAGCTGAGCCTTCTTCTTCAGATGCTGATTCGTCCTCGTCCGAGTCTTCGCCCTGAGTGACTGTATTCGAACTGGCGGATTCGTCTTCGTCGTCATCGCGTGGGGCACCGAAGGGCTTGCCGTAAATACGCTTGTACTCCTCCAAGGGGTCCTCCCGTTTCCCATTATCCTTGCACTTGGCTGCATGCATCATGCACTCGTTCGAGTACGTGACTCCGTTCTCGTCCGTCACGGGACTCATCACTTGAATGCAAACAAAGTTGCAAGACCCGCCAAGCCCTTCTGACTCCGAAGGAGTCTCGGTGGGTAAATCCTTCATCATTGACGGGCTACCAGCGTGGGCGGTGGTGACGGCGATTGCCGCGAGGGCGAGGCTGGTAGCAAACTTCATCTCGATTGGTGTAGTACCGGTGGCGCTGTGGGTTTGTCTGTTCCCGAAATGAGTAATGATCAACCATGACTGCCTTGATCTCAGTCTGTTTTATTTAATACTGTATGTAGTAAAAGCCAGGTTGCCTATCGCTCCCGTGCTCCCAGCAGCTCCTCGAGGATAATTATCGTTAGACTCCACATTGTGGACCACAACGACGCAAGTTCCGCCGCGCAACGAAAAACGTTCGCATGATAACGTTCGCCGAGGTGCGAATCGCATATGCTCTTCCCATCGGGATTAATTTTGCTGTTCGGATGTTGCCCAAATGCGCATGGGTGGTCTTTACGAAAGACTCTTTACAGGTTTTTAGCCTACTTCCCAGCTGGGAATTGAGAAGAGGAAATTAAACTTTTATGTGCCGGTACATCAGCAGTAGTCATAGATTTAAAGAAACCTGGCTATCGGTATCAAATCGGTGAATACGGATAAAAAAGATTTCACTGAAATAGAGTACAAATCAAAACGCAGAAGGCGCTTCCAACGAGTGTTAATCTATTCGCTATAGACTTTTTATTTTTTTTTTGAATGTGCTAGGCTCATGTCGTCAACTACGGCAATCTGCTCGTAAATTTGTATAGTCTTGTTCTTCGCTTCGAGGTTGACTGCAATGCCTTGATGCTCGAAAGAGTACTACGCATTCCTAGTGTCTGTCGGGGAAGCACTCACCAGCGACGGCCACCTGCGTCACCACCACCACGACGATCATCCCAACGCGAGCTCTGACGAGAGCGACTGCTACTTCCCGAATAAGGCGCGCTTGAACGCTGAGCGAACGGCCCGCTGCTGCTGTCGTTGCGGTGGTAGGAATCTGGACGCGAAGAATTCGATGAGGGAACGACAAGTGCCTTCATCTTGAAAAACTGCAGCGCCTGCGACAACGTCGGCAGGATGGAGGATTCAATTCGGCCAAAGAACCGGAAACCTCCTGACTTGACCTCCAAGTGGCAACTGCGGGGCGTTTCACGAGCAATATACGTGATTGAGAAGCAGCCCGGGAATTTTTGGTACACGTGAAGAGCGTACGGGATGCGCGACGGGTGCTCCTTCTTCTGCTTGATCAGGTCCTCTTCAACGCTCTCTTTCGGTGCGTTTTTGTAGTATTTGTAGCGCACCACGTCATCCACCAAGCTGTTCATGGGATCCACAAAGCGAGCAATCAACTCGTCGATGTTCTCGTACTTTTCTTCCTTGACAATCAGCGTCTGACCAATTCGAGCTTCCGAAGGTTTGTCTTTTTCTAAGATATCGAAATGACGGTACACACCATCCAGCATCTTCCACGTTAGCGTGAGGTGGTCGGTGCCCAGAGTACTGGGACGAATAACCACTTCACCAACGGGCTGTTCGCGCAGATACTGCATCGCAGTCTGGCAGTTGATGTTGCGGAACAACGGGTGAGCGATCTGTCGCTTCTTACGTCTTGACGTTTGCGTGCCTGGAACACGAGTAGCCTGGGTGAACGTTGTCTTGTCTTCCTCAACAGGGGGCTCGTTCACGAGGCGGTCCACACGCTCCATGCTGTCATTCTCCACTAACTTGCCGTTCGTGTAGCGAGGGAATCGCTCCGGATAGAAGCACATCGACATGTCAATCAATGAGCGGCGGTTGCAGCCAAGCTGCAGCTCATAGCGACCTTCACGATCCGCCTGGATTGCCAGAATCTTGGCGTTAACTGTAATACCCTTCGGGAAACTCTGTGGACGCACATCCATCAAGTAATCTGGCAATCGCTCACGGTGCAAACTGGAACGCATGCCACTCTGCAAGCGCACACGAACAAAGTCATCGCCCGACATGTGCAACAGCGTAGCAGGCACGATCATTCCGATACGTAGAGTGTCCCGCGTTTCGCCGTTCAGCAAGAAGAACAGATCTTCGTCCTTAGGTACCTGGTACTTCGCACGTTTGTCAAAATAAGGGTAACGCAGCTCTCGTTTGATGTACTCGAGCGTCAACAGCTTCGGTCCCTTCTTTTGCAGCTCCAAACGACCAGCATAAGCAGACAAATCCAGCTCGGACAGCACATCTTGGATTTCTGCATCGCCAAGACGGGTGTTAGGGGGAGCGTTGCGGCTTCGAATCGCGGACGCTGATTGGTACATCGTGTCTTCAACTGCGTACGAGTAGTGGTTCGGGTCGTACATATCGATAGTTGAGTTGTTGTTGGCGTCACCACAAATCTTCACCGCCATGTAGTAACTTTCCGGGTGGATACGCGTATCATCCAGCGGATTCAAAGGCGCTTCACGCAGAGCATCACGCTCGCGAATACGGATGAATCCAGCACAGTTGCGGTACACAATTTTTCCCACAAACCCCTTCGACAGCAACTCCTGACGTCGCTCAACGTAATTCTTTGCGCGAACCTTATCCAGCACCGACGCCGCCTTGACCGGACCCAGTCCGCAAATGAATTGCAGTTGATACGACGTGTGTTTGTGATTGGCTAGCAGGTTAATGTCAATGCCGTACTTGTTAACCACTTGCACAAACACTCGATCATACTCCCTCAGAAGAAGATCCTTGACGAGGGAGTGCTGCATCATGTGGACGTTCAAGAACAGTAGCTCGCGGCCGCGATTCGGTTCATTCAATGCAACGTTTCCCCACATCGCACAGAGCTCGGATGCAGGGTTCCTCAGGTAGCGTCCGAGACCGATCGCAGCACGCACATACTCAGATTCCTCGGGAAATTCCTGATCTGCGCGCTTGGAGCGACTGAACATGTTTGCAACATCATCTTTCAGGAACACAATGTCCAGGAAGTCGTGTCCATCTCCGTTCCCAAATCGAGAAGCATCATCTCGACCCAACAAGCGACGCACCTCATCAACCACTCCACCCATGTCCATACACTTCATACCAGCCGACACATTGATCACAACGACATGTGTTTGGGAGTGCTCCGTCAAGAACTTCAGTAGCGTAGCTGAGAGTTTCTCGATGTTGTTGACATCTCGCTTGCAGTACCCTTCCGTCTTGTCCACCATCTCTCCATTGACATCGAGAGCCACGATGTGTGCGATCGAATCCATGCTGCTTTCAACCCAAATCGATACGATGAACGGATCCACGCCTTCAGAAGGCTCATATGGGCGGACAGAGAGTCGTTCTTGTAGCGCGTTTCCGCACATCTTCACAACCACATCACGCGACGCCACGGTCAAATCACGCTTCAGCTCGTTCTCGAACGACAAAATCATAAAGTTGTTGATCGCCTCCTGAAGAACAAGGTGACGCTGGCTCTGCCACTCCTCGTCCGAGTCGTTGTCTGCCGACATATAGATCGGCTCTAGCGGATCCATCAGATCCTGAGCCTTCTCGTTGATGATAGTGGTCGTCAGTAGTCCTTCCTTTTCAGCTCGAGAAACCTTAAGCCACAAATCGCCCGATTCAAACACGTCAAGGACCGGCATCTTCTCAATGTACTGCAGGCCGTGACAATAGTGAAACTCGTCAATTTCTTCACGGCCCTTGGCTGTTGCCTCTGTGGTCAAAACAGCATTCAGACGATAGAGCTCACGGATGCACTTCCGGACGTTGGGCTCGGCCGCAATCTTACTAGCTGCAATGTGGCGAGCACCCTTCATCACATCATCCACAGTAGGGAACTCCTTGGTCGTGTACTTTTGCGCTAGAACACCAGGACTCTCCTCTGGGGTCGGAACGTCACGGATAGAATCTTCGTGATCTACGCCAGCCACAATACCACCCAGCACGGAAGAGTTCATCGTAAACGCCAGCGAGACCGGACGCAAGCCTGCCTTCGTGCAGATCTGATAGAACGTGCGGCGGACTGGGCGACGGTATTTCTTGTCAGTGCTCTCCTTGGTCGGTCCGCTTGATTCCTGTGCATCCAGTGCGAAGAATTCCGACAAATCCTTGTACGTCTTCTCGTCAGGTGCACTAAATAACTGTTCATAGCACTTGCGCACGAACGCCGATTCCTTAGCATTTGACGAGTCGACCACACGCTGAATACCGCTCTGGAACGACCTCCGCTTGCGTTCCAACTTGTCCCACTTCACGTCGAGATCAAGGATCTCGTACAGGTTTTCTGAGTGCAGACCCGCTACTTTCCAGTACTCCTTGCTGTAGCGCTGGACAAACGCAGGCTCCAGTTTCTCGTCGTGGTAAAAGCGCAGAACAGTGTCAATGGCCGACACGATCTCGCCGCGTGAAGCAGCCGAGTTTCGCTGACCCCTTCGCTCGAGGTTTTTAATGATAAAATCACTGATCCACTCGGACTCCTCAGCACGGTCCTCAGCATCCGGGAACTCACGATTCTTAAACAAATACTGATATCGCTCTGGCAGATCATGGTCACGCACAGCGATCACGTCCGAAGTCATCATGTGTTCCTTCAGCACGCTAGGCTCGAACTTCTCCAATAGGATCGCCTTCTTTGACTTGGCCGGGGTTTCCTCGGGAATCTTGCCGCTGGTAGCCTCTAAAAACCCGTCCATGTCTCCGAATAGCTCCTCGGCTTCTCCCATCTGATACACCGACGGTCCTTGCATGGAAGCTGGGATAGGCTCCTGTTTCCTGCGGCGACGCGGTCCTTCACGTCCTTCCTCGTCGTCGTCCACGATAAACTCATCGATATCGTCACTTTCGTACTCGTCATTGCCGAGATAATTGTTAGCACGCTGCGGGGCCGAGTCTTCTTCCTCCTCGTCCGAGTCACCGAACATACGGTAGCTCAACTCGCGCGACATGAGTCCAGAGTCGTCCTCGGTCTTCACCTTACGGGACGAGCGTCCCATATCTTCATCTTCACTGTCACTGCGGGTCGGACCTGTGTCCATGCCCATATTCTCACGCACAAGCATGAGATCCTCGTCGTCGATCTCCTCCACTTTCTGTTTAAGACGCTTCAGCTTTTTCTCTTTCTTACGACGACGGCGGCGGTGGCGAGCTAGAGGTAATGAAGCAGCGACGGTGAGTATAAATCTCTCTCTCTACAACCTTTATGTAGGCCTGAGCTTACCGATCTCTTCCCCATCAGAGCCCTCGTCGTCTACCACGAATCCATCATTCTCATACTCGTTGCGGTCCTCTCCTTCGTCCTCGTCTTCGTCGTCATCGTCGTCTGAGTTACCTCCTTCTCCATCGTCACTCTCGGACGCCATGTCATCGATAAATGCCGACTTGGACTTCTGCTCGCATTAAGAATATCGTTAGTAAGAGGTATTCTAACGCAGAGGTCAATTGCCGCACCTTCTCGTCGTCATCGGCTTTGGCGGATCGCTTAGCCTGCTTGTTCTTGCTCTTGCTCTTGCTACGCGATCCACCGCTGAGCTTACGCTTCTTGCTGCTTGCGATCTCTTCCTTAACCGCATCCGAGTCGGAGTCAGAGACCGTGGGAGACCCAGTCCCGAACATTTCATCTGCAGAGTGAATGTAACCGCCGCTTCAGAGGGAGCACAGGGAAAATGGCTGAGGAGGCAGGGGACTCACCGTCTGACGTGGTCATGATGGCAAGCTGCTTGAGATGTTACTGCTACTGTGGCTGTAGGTCAGGCGTTGGCTTCGTCCGCGCCGCGCGATCCTTCCGTCCGTCCGTGGCTTCCACCCAACGACGTGCGTTAATTCCAGGGCAAGGGGGCCCGCTAGTCGTATTTTTGATTTTTGACCAATCCTGGCTCACGAAAAAAAAAGTCAAAAATATCGGTAGCTCTTTTAAAATTATTGTGTCGACAGGTGTTAAAATAGCAAAATAATTGAAATGCTTCCAGACGAATGTGAAGATAAGTGGCAACTGCACGGTGCGGTCGATGCCTGCTTTGCATACCAATTACATGTACATGCTGCGGCTAACTTTTTCGGATCAATTGTCGAAACCCAGCAGTTTTCCCTGAAAACAAATAAAGATTCGCGGCTTTTCAGTATTACGGAAATCGCCCGTAATGATGTCCAAGCTCAGTTTCCACCTCCTCCATGTTCTGCTGGCGTTGTGGCTACCATGGACTATCTCTATCATCGCCGCCCAAAGTGCATCGCCCAAGCTTATGTGGTGTGCAAGTCCGCTCACTCCGGCGGTGCTAGAATCGCCCATTGACAAGTGGGTTGACGTCCCAGACACGAGCGTCACTGTAGAGCTGCAGAACGAGGCTGTAGTGATGATGTCGTACGACGTGTCGGTCTCCCACGTCACGGATATAAAGTCTGAAGGTGTCCAGGTAGCAGAACTGAGCGAACTGTCCTTCCGAGTAGCAGTAGACGGTACTCCGTACCGCCAATCAGCGACGACAGTCGACGACCGAGAGCCGTTAATCGTAGTAGCAAGTGGGTTCTTGGTGCTCGAAATTCCACAAGGTCATCATAGCGTCAAGCTGCAATGGCGGAAGCGAGGCACACGTGTGCTCAAATGGGCAGTGACAAGTGACATCCTGGACGGGTTTGCAGGCGGACGAAGTCTCACCGTGTCGGCGCAACATCGTTTTATCTGGTACAAACAGCCGACCACCACGGTCTCTCTTCTGTCTGTAAATAAGTGGGAAGCTGTGTCCGGTATGTCGGTGAATTTTCGTCTGTCGGAACCAGCCACGATTCGGTTCTTCTATCAGTTGCCTGTCCGCCCCGAACTAGTGCAGTACTCTCGTGGTTCGTTTGTAACTCGCTGTTGTAATATCTTGACTGGTAAGTTCGCTGACTGTGAATAAATGGATACAGATACGGCAGCATACGATGAAATTGAGACGTCTCTCGAGATAAATGGGCTCCGATATCGAGAAACAGGGTCGTACGGGATTGTAGAGGGGTCCAGGAAGTCGACAGTGCTTCTTCAAGGTAGTATTATCATGGACTTGTTGCCAGGGGAGTACAGTGCTGTGCTGTACTGGAAGGCGCTGCTAGGCTCCAGTCGTCCATGGTATTCGTCTCCTAATGCCTTGGACGGGTTTGCTATGGGGCGGATCCTGGCAGCGGTAGGGGAATGGAGTATGGACTCAATGTCCGTTTACAATTTACAGCAATTTAAGCCGACGTCAGTGGGGAAATGGTCGGACGTAGGCGACTCTGTGCTTCAGTTTACGCTGCCAAAAGCGACTCAAGTCTCGTTGAGCTACAATTTACCCCTTTCACAGAGTGATAACCCGCAGTTTAGCAGTTGGACTGAAGACTCGTGGGATCGCATCCAAACTCGGTTAGTTATTGACGGAGTCGCATACAGGCACATGTCGTCTTTGGTAGACGGAAGTGTTCGTGGAATAAAAAATGCAAGGGCAAGCATGGTATTACCACTCGCTGGGGGTAGCCATACCGCGAGACTGCAGTGGAAAAACGTTGATGGAAGCCAATGGCGAGCGGTATCATTCATCACAGACCAAGCTTCTTCATACGCATCCATATTTATCAGTGTAAACTCGTGGAACAATGATCCAAAGATTTTCGCGCCTACAGTCGTACTCGGAGAGGAAGACACGACTGTGGAAATTGACGGCATTTCTATAAGCGATACTGATAGCGAAATGGCGCTCGACTACGAGGTTACTGTCACAATATCTGTAAGAAATGGCGTGCTATCGCTGGATCCCACACCGGGAATCACGTTCGCTTCAGGTAACGGAGATCGCAACCAGTATTTGCTATTCAGCGGAGCACTCAGTAGCGTCAACGCGTATTTAGCTCGTGTGTGGTATCGAAGCTATTTGAACTGGTACGGTGACGATGAGCTCCGTATCAAAGTTGTGGATCAAGGTGTGACCGGTTTCACTGCTGCGAGTACAGATGAAACTTCTATCGTGATACACATAGCGTCCGTCAACGACCCACCACAGCTCACTGTTCCAAGTACCCAGTTCTTGCTTGAAGACCAGCAAATCAGCATATTTGGCGTCAGGGTTCATGATGTAGATCCTGGCTTTGATCACAGCAACTCGACATTTGAGATGCAACTATTTGTACTGAGTGGTGTGGTTTCTCTCGGTTCTACCAGTGGCGTAGCGTTTATTGAGGGGGATGGGAAAGGAGACCAGCTTTTTTGCTTTCGCGGCGATCTACGCACAATTAATTCGGCTTTATTTGAGATTAAGTACCGACCTGACAAAGATTTCAACTCGAAGCAGCACGTGGAACGTCTAGGAATACGCGTGCGAGATTATAACTACTTGGACGGCACAGTTACAGATGCGTTTAAGAGCATTTTGATTGAAGTCCAGAGCTCTAATGACCCGACGCTGGTGGTACCATTGGAGCTATCTACAATTACACTTCGTGGATATGCGGTCGAGCTTGTAGGGGAAACCACAGGCAACGAGGTGGTATATGCGCAATTACTTTCGATGACCGCTGTCGGAGAGATCCAGCTTTCAACGCCAAGTAGTGCGCTTCCTGCCGGCGTAACAAAGCTTCCCGTTGGAGACGAACCATCCAACTTGATTAAGCTAAGTGGGCATGTTTCTGGTGTTAGCGACATCCTGCAGTCTATCACATTCATGCGAGCCCCTTCATTTTACGGGTACGAGATCATTTTCGTACGGTTAAGCGCAGTTCCAGATTTCTCGATCGTGGAAGACTTGACTATCCAGATGAACCTACACACTGATAACTCGACTGAGCTTTGGTCAATTGCTAGTGCATCTCCGTCTCGAGGGAAAAGTGAAGGAGGAACTACTGTGTCAGTGACAGGAAAGAACTTCCAGAGATGGTCTGATGAAAAACTCTGGTGTCGATTTGGTAGGAGTCCGCTCGTTGATGCCAAAGTGAAATCTGACACCCTGTTGGCCTGTGTGACGCCTCCAGCAAGCGCTGATCTTCCGAAGCGAACGTTTCTGATGGTGACTAACGGAAATGATTTCTACTCGAATCCTATTCCATTTGTGTACGAAGACACCTGGACCGTATCATTCGCATCACCAACAGGAGGGCCATGCACTGGAGGCACTACAGTACTGATTAAAGGGACAAATTTCCCTCGGAATACTGTATTGCAGTGTGCTTTCGGAAAGCGAATGTCAAGTGCGCGGTACTTGTCATCATCATCAGTCTCTTGCAAGACACCGAAGGTTGAGAAAGGTACAACGGACGTAGATTTGCGATTAACCTCCAACGGCCAAGATTTCTCGCAGCCGCTGCTCTTCAGTTATCGAGGTAAGTGAGAACTGTGACTCTTTGTGAGCTGGCTAGCCTTGCTAATTGAATGTGGACTCGTTAGACCCACCGGAGATTAATTCCATCGATCCCTCGTACGGAAGTTCGAGTGGAGGCGACGTTATTGCAGTCGCTGGAGCTAACTTCTTTCCCGATACACAAGCCAACTGTGTGTTCGATGGGGATATTGTCACGGCCGCATCTTTCAAGTCTTCCAGCTCGATGTTGTGTCTGTCTCCTGCCGTGCCGATTCCGACGGAGCCAATGACCGTAAGTATTGCAGTTATCCTTGATGCGATGTCGTATCGATCTCCTAAAAACTTCAGCATTTACGGTAAGTTATGATGTATTCTTTTGTGAGATGCTAGAAAGAAAATCTAATCGATGGTCGGTGTCGCGCAGCCCCACCCACTGTGTCAAATGTAGACCCAGCATTTATTACGGGGAGCGGTGACATACTGACTGTGAATGGGTCTCATTATCAGAACCTAACTTCACTATCGTGTCATTTCACAAGTGGTGCTACAAGTACCGCTGTCCCAGCAACGTTTTCGAACTCCTCCGCTGTACGCTGTCGCGTCCCTGATATCACACAACCTGGCGCTTGGATTGGACTTTATGTATCGCTCAATGTGGAGAGCAAGCAGCGTATTGATTCGCCGCACCTGCTTCGCTATGCTCCTCTTCCGTCGATTATGTCAGTAAATCCTCTCGTTCTCTTACGGATCGGAAATCTGCCTCTTGCAGTCGAAGGCCGCGGAATGATGGTTTTCCACGAGCTTCGGTGCAATTTTGTTGGGTCAGGGTGGACGTGGTTGACAGTGAAGTCACCAACTTTAGGCGAATGTGCTGTCCCATTTGTGCTGGCGAATGATTCTTCGCATCAAGTTCTGCAATTGGAAAGTGTTCGTCCGTCCACAAATCGTGTCCTGGCCACGTATGGACTCGCGGTATTGCAGCCTATCGAGATACTGCGTGTGACGCCTTCCGTGGGATTAATAACTGGAGGGACAGAAGTTACGGTTGTCACTGATAGTACGCGTTTGCTGGACGTGCTGAGGCTCACTATATTATACTGCCACATCGGACGAACGTATGTACCTGCTTTTGCATTGAACGACACTGCGCTTTCGTGTCACAGTCCAGCAACATTTAAAGCGCTGACCGTACCTGTGGAAATTTTGATTGGCAAAACCCGAACACACTCTGTCCACAGCACAGCGTCGTTTACATTTGTTACGCCAATCAGAATCGATGCTGTTACGCCATCGCGCGTTAGCAGTTCAGGTGGAGTTAGAGTTCGTGTGACCACAAGTGATCACGTGATGGAAGGCCTAAGTTGCTTGTTCGGCTCAATAACTGTTCCGGCTGAGATCTCTTCAGATCGCTCCATTGTTTGTGTGTGTCCACCACACACGGAAACTATTGTTTCGCTTCGTTTAGTGAGTGACGATGGCATTGTCATGTCTGAAAATGCGGTAATGGTTGAAGTGTACGCGTACTCAGACACAGTTTCAGTTTCTCCATCGAATGGAATCGTGTTCCGGAACACAATAATTACGATTCAGATGGACAGATTGTCGTCTGCTGGACGTGTGGAGTGTACGTTCCGAAGCGGTAATGAGACCTCTCCAGCTAGTACCGCTGCAATTATTACTTCCCTTACTTCAGCACAGTGCGGCGTCCCAGCTGACGTATTCACGCCACCAGCTAATTTACTTTTCTCGGTTGCAGTCGACAATTTCACTGTGATTGATCAAATGGAGCTGCACTTTGTCCCGGATCTGGTGGTGACATCAATTTTCCCTACTGTTGGAATTATTGGTGCAAACAACCTAGTTCGAGTGGAAGTGGAGTCAGCAGATATCCTGTTAACGGAGTATCTGTGTGCATTTGGAGGTATAATGACGCCCGGCACGACTAATGGATCAGTTGTCGAATGTTTGTCGCCCATTTCTGATTTCGCAATGGAGGTCCCAGTTACTATCACTGCTAACGAAGTTGATTTTGTCGCATCGAATAGTAACGAGCGATTCTTTCGCTATGTACGAGCACCCTCGGTCTATTCGTTCGGGCCGCTGATGGGCTCTGCGAAGGGTGGAACTGTGCTCCAATTAAAAGGTGACGACTTTTGCGAGCAAATGGAGCTTATGTGCATCTTTGATAAAAAAATCGTGGTACTAGCGGAGTGGCAAAACGCTACCCACGTGTCGTGCATCACACCTCCAGACTCACACGAGCGAGGGGTTGTAACCTTAAGTATATCAGACGTCGATGGCAACTTTCGAGTCGATATGCAGCGGAAATTCCGATACGCACAAGCTATCCAGATAACAGCATTGTCTCTACAGACGATTCCGAGTAATTACAAAGGAGTGCTACGTGTTTTCGGAAGTCACCTGCCGCCGTCTTCATCATGGCAATGTCGAGTTAATTCTGCTGCAGAGATGGGAGTTTGGGTTTCCTCAACCGAGCTACTCTGTCGTATCTCACCATATCTTCTTGGTGAGGCCCAGAATGCAACAGTTGCGGTCAGTCTTAATGGACAGGAGTGGAGTGCAGAGCTGCCGATGGAGATTGCCTCCAATTTCACGGTGCATTCCGTAGTGCCGAAGTTTTTCTCGTGTGGGAAAATGGCGAAACTGCATGTGTCTGGAACTGGGTTTTCAAATAACTCTCGGATGGCATGCTTCTTCGATCAGATCGCAGTACCCGCATCATTTGTAAGCGACAGCGAGATAACGTGTCACCCACCATTCATCTCAAATACTACAACGCTAGAAGTCACTGTTTCTGGATATGACGGGCTAGTTGCGGATGGAAATCTCTTCGTTTCATGTCAAAGCACACCCGTAATTGAGCGTGTTCAGCCGAACAGTGCTAGTTCAGCTGGTGGGACCTTAATCACAATCTTCACACGTGATCCGATGGACATACAAAACGTGGAAGGTGTTCGCTGCTGCTATGATATGGATACGTGCTCGTCTGGAGTGGCTATAAATGCAACAGTGCTACAATGTGTTACACCTGCTACGAAACCGGGGACTAGTGTGCTGAAAATTGTACTGGGAACAGCGAAATATGGTCTAGTTAATTCCACCGAAGTAGCTTTCCGGTTCGTGCCGGTTCCCCACATAACCAACGTTCTCCCACAGCGGGTGTTGCTGTCGCTGGCCTTCACTATCTCTGTGTATGGTCACTATTTCGTTGGTTCCGACAAGCTGGCATGTGTTTTGCGCACTGAAGACAGCGACATTCTCTTATCGGCTCAATGGCTTTCAGAGGGGCTGGTAACTTGCTCACGGCCGCACGAGATGATGAAAAGATCCGTCTCTAGTTCAGCTGATGCACGCGTGCTACTTACAATCAACGGCGATGAAATGATCGAGACTGGATTTAATGTCACTTTGCTTCCTCCGCCTGAAGTACGCGTCATTGCTCCGTTTGTGCCTAGTGCTGGTTTCGACTTGCAGCATTCGCTGGCATTGATCGGCCATAATTTTGACCCTAGCGTGGATCTTCTTTGCAGATTTCAGTCATTCGACAAGTCGGTGGCAACACCAGCTCAAGTTGTGAACTCGACGCTGATAAACTGTGCGACACCGCCATGGAATATGGGCAATGAGCTGACACAAGTTAGCTTGTGGTCGCCAAACAGTGGAAAAGTTAGTACAAGCGACGATATTGTAGTCCGAAGCAATAGTACTGATGGTGATACGTGGTGGAGGCTACGCCCAAGTATCGGCTCAACACAAGGCGGGGACATTGTGCAGCTTGAAACAACTGGATTTGACACTGATTCCTTAAACTGGCAGTGCTGTTTCAGTGAATTGTGGTGCTCACGGGTGTATCGAGCTGACAAACGAGCGCCTTGGATGATAGCCCTACCGACGATGAATGAAACAGGACTAGTGACGGTCTCATTAAAGACAGAGGTCGGGCACTTTATCGAGCAAAAAACATGGTTTCTTTTCGTGGATCCTCCCAAGGTCTGGACAATATTTCCAACTACTGGAAGCTTTACCGGTGGTGACGTTGTGTCCGTAAATGGAGAGAACTTTTTGCTTGCGTCAAATTTACGATGCAGATTTGGAGAACTTTTCGTGTCTCCGCTAGCAATGTATGATAACCGATTATTGTGCACCACTCCACTGTTTACAGCCAGTTCACTTACGAAGCAGCAAGTGGATTTTGATATTGTATACTCGGACGGAAACGACACTGAGAGAGTAGCAGAGAACAGTGGTGGGATGCTCCGATTTCAATACGTTGCTGTTCCTGAGATTGCCAGTGTATACGCGAGCTACAATGGGAATGATCGAGCCATCCTACACTTGGTAGTAAGAGGATCTTATTTTGCTAACGAGGAGACGCTGGTGTGCCGAATTGGGCTTGAAGTGGCTGCTGCACGAATGGTGGAATCTGATACAATTATTTGCTCTTCATATCGGACTCATTCTCAAAGCCACGAGTTGAATGTATCAGTATCGAATGACGGTGTGCTGTTTTCAACAGAAGCTTCTGTGATGGTAGAAGCAGCATATTCGCTGCATATCTCTCGATTGTCACCAACATGTGGGTCTGTCCGAGAAAATACGAGAATCTTACTTTTCGGAAATAATTTCCTGGAGGGGCCTTACGAATGCATTTTTGGCTGGGCTGATTGGCAACATCGTGTCGAAGGTAGAATAGTTAATCAGTCTTGCGTTAGCTGTGAGGCACCTCAGTGGACGCAAGACAATTCGAGAGAGCTCCCCGTTTCGCTTGAACTCAAGTCCAGTATGACCCAAAGTAATGTCCTTCTCTATCGATATATTCCAGACATTGTTATGTCTTCGGTGGAACCAAATCGTGCTGTTGTGGGTCTTCCTATCAGCATTTTAGTCCGAGGAGGGCCTTTCGTGCTTAGAACTGAAGCCAATTGTGTTATGCTTCCGACGCTTTCGAACGGCTCCGAAATTGTTTTCCGCGCAACATGGAAGTCCCCTTTTGAAAGCATTTGTGCTCTCCCTTATGCTATTTCTCCTGGATACTATACACTTGGAATTGCGCAGAATGGCGTGAAAACAGTCTTCGCAGACGAATCTATCGAACTGGTTGATCTTCCGTTGGTATCACTAATTACGCCTACCCGAGGTCCTTCAGAAGGGGACACGACAATCACATTTAAAGGCCGACACTTCACTTCAGATATGTCCTGCTGCTTTGATGATGCCTGCGCTCAACTCGAAGTGTTTAACGAATCGAGTGCGATATGTCGAACCCCACCTTACTCTACTGGACTGGTTCCCGTTACGTTATCTTCCGATGTGATTGGACGAATATCGACTGGTATCGTGTTCGAGGTGCTGAAAACAGCACGAATAGATGCGCTTATCCCTCCAGTTATTGTCGTTGGTATCAGCCAACCGAAATTCATTGTGGTGGTAGGAGCAAACTTCTACTCCGAGTTGGAATATGGCTGTTATTATGGAGATCTCACAAGGAATTATCTACATGTTGTTGTACAAAATGCAACAAGTGTCACGTGTCCTGTCCCCATCATACCGAAGAGAATGTTCTCAACAGTTGTTGCGTTGGAAATCTTGACGTTGGCCAACAGTTCAGCCACAACGGTAGCAAGAGTCTACGTTGAGCTACTCGAAATGTCCGTGATCTCGAAGATACTACCGCAAGTATCAGCACCCAAGGCAAGTATGGTCTTTGAAATGCAAGGCACATTTAAGTTCGCATCAGATAGTACAAAATGCAGCTTCACCTGCACAAGCAAGGACGGTAGAACCATCCACACAGGTGTGGTCACATTATCTACAGAGGGTATAGCTCAATGCGAGCTATCAGCGTCACCTCTTCCAGTCGGTTCTTGTCAGGTCACGCTATCTCAGAATGGTGTCCAAGTGTCGAGGAACAGCTTCCAGATATGGGTCCGTAGTCCAGTACTGGTAAGTCGTGTTACACCCTCTTTAAGTACGACAAGTGGAGGCGTTCTAGTCACCATTGAAGGATCCGGCTTCCCTAAAACCATCCAACCGCTGTGTCATTTTGGTCAAACCAATGTCGTTGAAGCTGCAGTGGTATCGAGCAGTAGACTAATGTGCTTAACTCCAACTATGAGGATTTCGAACAGCACCCTGACTGTAGATATGTGGATTACAATCGGTGGTATGGAGTCGTCGGTGCAGCCGTTCAAGTTCTTTGCTCCAATTTCTATCATTAAGGCGTATCCAGCATTTGGTCCTGCAGACGGAAGGACTCAAGTAGGAGTCGATGGAATGAATATCCTACCGGAGCTTGATATCAAGTGCTTGTTCAGTGGAGAAATTACTGTGATACCCAGGATGATTAGCCAAGAAACGATTTGGTGTACGACACCGTCGATGACTGTTGGATTGCATACTTTAGAGCTGATTGTCGAAGGTGGAAGTCGAATTTCTAGCAACTTCGTGCACTTTGAGGCTATTCGACCCGAGCAAGTGTTTCGAATCTATCCGTCTCGTGGTATCCAAACTGAAAATACTGAGAGAAAAATCCGTGTGATCGGTGATAATTTCGTTGATTCGACGAATTTAACATGTATTTTCGACGATGTCCAAGCGCCTGCAACGGATTTCATATCACCATTGGAAATCGAGTGCGTTGTACCGTTTACTCAGTTGGGAGCAAAAGTAGTTCGGGTATCAAATAACGGCGTCGACTTCTCGAAGTCATCAGGAAGGTACGAGATACTGCCTAGGATGTCAATTGCTGCTGTTTCACCTCACCGAGGATCGTTTTTGGGTGGTACAATTGTCATTTTAACTGGTGTATTTGGAAGTTACGAAGGGATCGAGTGCGTATTTGGAGAATATAGTCTTGCTGCCCGGGTAATTAATGCGTCTGCTGTTGACTGTATCGCACCGTCTGGAAAAATAGGTAGAGTCGTGGAAATCAACGCTCGTGTGTACAGTACATTAGCGCACGTTGAAGACGATGTCGACGTTAGCTTTGAGTATGGATCAGGGCCCATCGTGACTGATATTGTGCCTTCGGTGATATCGCAGACAACTGACTTAACAAATGTGACGGTGATTGGATCAGGGCTAAACGTGACAGAGTTAGTCGGTTGTCATTTCTCGAATCAGCCTTCGTCTCCTTTGTACCGTGACCGCGATGATGTTTTGTGTAGCTTTGATGCTAGTTCCACAGGAATATTTGAGTTGACACTTGTATTAGCTGGAACCAGCCGCGATCAAATTGCTACGCACCAAAAGATTCGTGTCATCCCAGCGATTCAACCAATTGAAATATTACCCTTTCAATTCGATGAAAGGGGGGGAACGGGGACTATCATCTCGGCCTTAAATATTGTCCCAGGCGCGAAGTCTCTTCGCTGTTTGTTTGGCCACATCGTAGTGGAGGGATTGGCTTTATCAGACGTTCAAATGCGTTGCAAGACGCCACCCATGCGGCCCGGACGCACGTCACTCAGACTCAGTCAGGATGGCTTTTCTTGGTCTGAAAACAAGCTGGAGATTGAGGCATTCGCGACGCCGATGCTGTTTGAAGCATATCCGAATCGCTCTGCTGCAGTAGGTGGCGTTGCAATTGCTGTGTATGGAACGAATCTGCGGGAATTTGCGAACATGAAATGTGTGTTTGGAGACGTTAAGACCCCGGCTATCAGTGTGAATAACTCGGTGGTGAACTGCATTACTCCCACACTACTCACTGCTGGCGTTTTGTCACTTGGAGTCAGCTTAAACGGCGTCGAAATAAGTGGTAACACGGTAGACGTCGAGTTTTATGGGTTGCCAAGCGGACTGTATGTCCGATCGTTAAAGCAACTTCACGACGGACGATGGAGTGCTAGAATTGAAGGCACAAACATCTCGTCACTCGACGAGTACGAATGTCAGTTCGATAGCGAGTCGTCAGGACTTGTACGAAACGTGACATCACGTGGAATGGAGTGTATTCTCGATCCACTTTCGCATCAAAGCCGGCCCAAGACAGTATCTTTAAAACTTCATGGAGAATTACTACTACGACAAGATGTTTTGAGAAATACCGAATGTCCAAGCTCAGATATTAGGCTATCGACTGCTGTGGTACGATCAGGACAAAGTCAGCTGATCACTCTGTATGGTTTTGGATTTGATCCTTTCATGGATCTGGCTTGCCATATTGGTCAGGAAACCATTATCGGTGTCGTAAAGTCAGAAAGCGCGATGCAGTGCATGCTTCCAGTCGGTATACCAGGGAACTATACACTTGAAATCACATGTGCTGGTGTTTCGGAGCTGCTGGGAGCTTTCCAAATACAGTACGCCAGTCCACCTCGAATTGAGAGCTCAAAGCCAAATATCGTTCCTGCTGGAGGTACATTTGACGTCGACTTGTTTGGAACCAATTTTGCTCAAGAAGACATCATTTACTGCGCTTTCGGCTCCCCAACGATGCGTGTGCAGGCCTCTTTCATCTCACCATACCGGCTAAGATGTTCAACTCGTCGGAACTGGATGGCTGGTCAAGTTGAGTTGTTTGTAGCTCTTGAAGCTTTCGAAGGACGCACAGAGATACTCTACCAATCCCCTTTCACGCTAGTCGACAGTATCTCCGAGACGGCTACTTTGGAGCCAGACTTCGGCTCGACACTTGGAGGGTATTCTCTTGATATTGAAGTGAATGCATCGTGGCGCAGCTACGAAAACCGAGGCTGTAAGTTTGTGGGGGTGGGTTCGGAACTGAATGGAGTCCTTGAGAGCTCGAACGATACAGAAATATTGAGCTGTCACGTGCCGAGATTAAAGCCTGGATCGTACTCGGTGCTGCTCTCGCCAAATGGACGCGACTATATGTCGATTCGAACATTGCTTACCGCTCACGTGCCTATCCAGGTGGAGAAAGTTAATCCTCCATTTGCACTCTCCACTCGCAAATTGGAGCTTACAGTTTCTGGCAAAGGTTTCCAGCGCTGGATGCGTCTGAAATGTGCATTTCGTGGCTTGAAGGATCAAGGTTGGATCTCGTTTAACGCGGAATATGTCTCCGAGGCAATGGTGAAATGCAAAGCGCCATCTCACATGCCAACAATGGGGGGTTTTCAGGTACTACCAAAGACTTCGCTGCGGTCTCCACAGGTGCTGTTACCTTTCGAGTACAAACCTGAGATCATAATCCACTCCATCTCCCCGGATAGTGGCGGTACGAGCGGTGACACAATTGTGGACATAGCTGGTCAAGGATTTTCGAAGGATCTCGATTTGAAGTGCCGTATTCAAGGTGAAACGTTGACTGCAACGTTTGTGAACACGACCTTGATTCGCTGTCGCACTCCGGCTTCTCGTGCCATGACTGTTCCTATTCACTTTTTGATCGGAGATAGAAATATTCTGGAGGAGTATTTCATGTTCACGTATGTTTCACTACCTGATATTAGTGACGTCCAAATGACACTTGACGGTTCTGAGGGTAAGGTCGAGTCCGTTGACATCATGATGGATCCCAAGCCACCTCGAACGTACGAACCTATACCGTCGATACGCTTTATCGAGCCCACGTCAGGTTGGATAAGAGGTGGCACTGCCGTTGTGGTGCATGGATTCAGAATGAAATACTCGCATTCGATAGAATGCGTTTTCGGGGACATCTTGGTGTACGCATCGTTCATATCAAGTCAAGAGCTCGAGTGTATCTCTCCTAGTCTCACTATACCTGGCCGAAACAACTTCACTGTTCGATCCAAAGGCGAAGAGTGGGAAGTGGTGACGCCACTTTGGTTTGATGCGTTTTCTTTGCCAAGTATCTTGTCTATGGATCCTCAGTTTGGAGCGTTTTCAGGTGGTACAAACGTTGTACTCAAGGGGAATTTCTCCAGCTCGCTGGTCCGAGCCAACGCTGCTCTTTCCTGCTCTTTCGGCGAGATCGGGTTTGCCCCTGTGCGCTTTATGAGCGACAATGAAATGGCTTGTACTTCACCACCTGTCAGGGACATTACGGCCGCTGAGATGGGATTATTCTTCAGTCCAAAAGATATTTTGCAGTTGCCTTATTCATTTCACTACACAGAAGAACCGGATTTTATAGCTGTTAGTCCAGCTATCGTCAGCGAGTATACTGGCGGATTCGTGACAATATTTGGCGTGGGATTTCTCGACTCTGGTGCTGGATATTGCAGCTACAATTCTTCTCCAAGTGTTCGGCACGAATTGGTTTACATAAGTACTGAGGAGATTCGCTGCTCGCTTCCTCGATTAAAGCCAAGTCTGGAATCAATCGGCATTAGTTTGAATGGAGATACTGCCGTGTCCACTGGTCTCTTACTGACTGTTAAGGCCAAGCCCATGCTGCTAAACATGACCCCACAGTTTGATAGTGTGCATGGTGGCGCTGTGGTTGAGCTCACAGGTCTGAACTTGTTTTTCGCACCATCTCTTGGCTGTGTGTTCGGAACATTATGGTCGAATGCTGAGCTACATAGCGGCATGATAACGTGCGTTGTCCCGCCATCGATGTCTCTTGCTAGTGCTTCTTGGGTGAACGTTTCCGTGGTTAGTGGAGCTGAAAAGTATTCTGCAGAGACGTTTGAATTGAAGTACACTTTAGCACCACAGATTACATCGGTCGAGGTTATCCCTGACATTGGAAAAGGTTTCCAACGTATTCAGCTTTGCGGAAGCTTTCCAAATATTTTGTCTCCTCATTTCTTAAGGCTTGACAACTTTGAGCACGGTATGGAGAAGAATGATGTCATGGGAATTGCTGGAGAAATGCTGAATAGATCTTGCCAAGTGTTTAAGACAGATGCAACTGCAGAGGGTTGCTCGGCCGGTTGTGATATCTTACTGTCTGTTAACAACCAGACCTTTATTCACACAGGGAAACATATCGAGTTGACTCCACTGACTCAGATACTGAAAGTGGCGCCTTTGTTTGGATCATTCCGAGGTAGTGAGGTTATCCGGATTGAAGGTAAAAACTGGAATCCTCGGGCTCGGTTGTACTGCGTATTCGATAAAAGTATCCGAGAGATTGTTACGGTGGTAAACACAAAGTATGCCGAGTGCGAGACGCCTTCGCACGCAGCTGGATCAGTTGAATTGGCGGTTGTGATAGTGGATGAATCAGGAGCTATCCACACCGTTAAAGCGCACAGCTTCATCTTTATTGGTGCCATGGAAATTGCGAGTGCTTCTCCTCTGATTGGTCTTACACGTGGTGGAACGCAAGTTCATGTTCGTGGTAAGGGATTTGTGAATCGTCATGAGCTGCGATGTCGATTTGGGGAAGTTTCTGTGCCTGCTCACTACGTGAACAACTCCTGCGTTACCTGCGTTAGTCCTCCCATGTTCAAGGCAGCAAATAAAGTGTCGTTGTCCGTCTCGTTGGGAATATTTTCCACGTCCGACACGGACGACGATAACGTGACATTCTCGTATATCAGCACACCACTTATTCAACGGGTAGAGCCTTCGAGTGGGATGTACAACCAGAGTCATTCTGTTCGGATTTTTGGCACTGGATTCGTCCCAGACATGGCAACAACCTGCCGGTTTGGAACAAATACTGGAAATATTCCAGCGACGATTGTTTCAAGTCATGAACTTAAGTGTACGATGAGAATTGGTTCATCTAAATCTATGGAGAAATCAAAAGTGCTGCCAATTGGGTTAAGTATAAGTGGAGGGGCATATTTCGAGACCGGCTTTAGCTTCACTGTTTTTGCGCCCGTGGTACTGACTGAAGTTGCTCCGAACGCGATAATTCCTTTTCAAACTGATCGAATCAAGCTCGAATGTCTTGACGTGTTCCCGTCTCGTGAGTGGCAGTGCAAATTCGATAGTCTGAACGTCACTACGATGGGAAGATTTGTGTCTAGGGATACGATATCATGTCTGACACCTCCAGCACGATCACTACGGACAGGTGTGCTTGTCGTCAGACTCTTTAATGATGGCATCGAGTACTCGATGAACAGCGTGGAAGTAGACGTACTTCATACGCCGGAAATATTTGACTACAGTCCAAAATCAAGAGGTGTGTACATGTCCTCGGCTTCCAATGAAGACATCGTCGACTACGTGACTATTACAGGAAAGAACTTTGCTCCTTTCCGACGCATCGATTGTCGATTCGGCTCTCTATGTTCTCAAGGATCCTTTGTAAGTACGACTCAAGTTCGATGTCGTATCCCTATGTCACGTACTCCAACACGAGTATCTCTTGCAATATCGTTCAACGAGGTTGATTTTCTGCCTGCAACTGAATTATTCGAGTACTTTCTAAATTTCAAGATCGAGAACATTTCTCCTACTAACGGTGCAGTATCAGGTGGCACTGCTGTGCACTTTTACGGTGGCGAATTTGCCGTGAACGAGACGATCTTGTGCAGGTTTGGAGACTATAACAGCGATGCGTATGCAGTTGTGATTTCGTCAACAGAGATCATCTGCACAAGCCCCAATGTCTTAGAAATTGGCAAGGTTGGTGTTAAAATTTGGTCAGTGACGCGACGATTATCCGGAACCCTTTTGAGTGCCTTCACGTACACGAAAGAACCAATTGTGTTGATGGTGTCACCAATGGAAGCACTCGAGAAAATGACAACACTGTTTGATGTCTATGGTCGTGGATTTATGCACTCGCCAATGCTCGGGTGCAGTTTTAGTGGAGATCGAAAGAATACCGGGCAAATAGTGCAAGCAATCTGGGTATCAACCGTGCATATAAAGTGCTCATCTCCGCCAACAAACACATCGGTTGGTAACGTCCAGTTCGGGGTGACCAATAACGGCGTCGACTTTGTGTACGCCAGTCGCTCAGCGATGATTCGTTTCCGTACCCTGTTTGATGTAGCTGAAATATACCCTTCATCTGGAAGTACTGGAGGTGGAACTGCTGTGTCCATTAGTGGGAAGCCTTTCGACAAAGACGTCAGATATTGGTGTCGATTCGGTCACAACACGGAGCCTGTCAACGCCACAGCTGTGAGTGACGAGGAGTTAATTTGTATCAGCCCTTCGTTCGCGTTTAAAACTGGAGAAGTTGCTGTCTATCTCTCCGTCAATGGCCGTGACTTTGCCTCAACGAATCAGACTTTTAGCTACCAGCCGAAGCCACAAATATTCAAGATATCCCCAACAAGAGGTTCGATGGACGCGTCGACGATGGTTACAGTGATCGGGGAGGGCTTTTATTCTGTCTCTCCTTTATGTCGATTTGGAGAAACTAGTGTTCAAGCGTACGTCCAGTCGAACTCGGAGCTAAAGTGCAACGCACCAACTAATCGCAACGCCGAGGAAGTACCGGTTGAGATATCTCTAAACGATGGCGTGGATTTCACTCAAAATGGCGTGCTGTATACGTACATGCCATCACCTCAAATTCACCTGATCACTCCAGCGTCCGGTCCAGCGTCCGGTGGAACATTGGTCCAAATCATTGGACTTAACTTGTACTCATCGAAGCTGACACAGTGCTGCTTTGGAGATCGACATCACTGTACACAGGGGTGGCTATTAAACGCCACTGTGGTTGAGTGCGTGACTCCACCTTCTCCCGCTAAACTATCAGTGGCTGGGGCTGGCTCACAGCGGGTTCCGATACTCTTGGCATTAAATGGACAGGATTTTATCACACTCGGGATGCAATTCGAGTACGTTCTCGACGTCACAATTGACGATGTTTCGCCAATATTTGGTGACATTGACGGTGGTACAACAGTGTTTCTTCATGGGCGCCACTTACGCTCCTCGCCTGGATTAGAATGTCGCTTTGGCAATATTCGAACTCTTGCAACATTCTGGAATGACTCGACAATTTCATGTGAGAGCCCTCCTCACCCAGTAGGCAAAGAAAGTCTCTCAATTTCGCTGAATGGGCAGGATTTCACGTTAGCTACGACAGATTTTAAATATCTTCGTCTTCCATCGGTGTATACAGTATCGCCCAGTGCTGGACCTTTGCTTGGAGGGTATTCTGTCCGCATCAATGGGGGTCCATTCGTGAACACTACGACAATACTTTGTCAATTTTCACAAGACAATGAGGTTATTAGCGCGACAACTGCCGTGTACGAATCACCCAAAGAAGTTAGTTGTACAGCTCCTTCAGCCAAGCATTCTGGACAAGGGTTTTTATCTGTGTTTGTGAATGGAATATCGAGTACTCGACTACGATATCTGGAGTTCTTGTATAACGACGACGTTGTCCTGAATGCATTGGAGCCATGGTTGTGTGATAATACTGGTGGGTGCAAGCTCGTAATATTTGGTACCAATTTCAGACGAGACGCAGAGCTCGAGTGCTGTTTTGGTACATCTGCACTGAACTCGACATGCGTTCCTGCACAATTCGTAAGCGATGACAGACTGAGCTGTATATCTCCACCCGTAAATCACGTCGGGTCTGTCGAAGTTAGTATCAAATCATACGGTGTGGAAGTCTCACGCCAGTCGCTGGTACTGGAAGTACACCACCCTATCGGTTTAGAAAAAATACATCCAGTAACAGGGACGTATCGCGGCGGCACAAAAGTTACGATTACAGGCTGGCACTTCACGCTCACACGTCAGCTGTCTTGCTGCTTCGATGATACTCAAGTCCCAGCTACATTTATCAATTCGTCGATGATCGAGTGTTTCACCCCTTTTCGGCAGGCGAAACCTGCTTTGTTTCGAGTCAGCATGAACGGCCAAGATTGCATGAATAGCGGTGCTCTGCAGACTTTCACCTTTCAACTTCCACCTTCAATTCTTCAAGTGTCTCCAAATATTGGAACGCGATTGGGTGGGACGACGGTTCTGTTACAAGGAGAAAACTTCAAAGTGAATGAATCAACTTGCTACTTCGGGTCTACACCAGCCACTACCTCTGAGGTGCTGTCGGATACTGAGATGAAATGTACGAGTCCTGCACAGAGCAGTCCACAGCGATGTCAAGTCGTTGTAGCTGACAACAATCAGGACTATTCTACGAGTCCCGTATTCTTCACGTACGTTGCAGCGGAAGAGGTGAAGTCCGTGTCACCAGTCCGGCTGCCTTCAATTAAAGGCGGCAAAGTCACTGTCAGCACCGAGAATGCTCGGAACAGTGCCAATCTAAGCTGTTTCTTCGACCACGTAGCTGTCCCTGCAAGCTTCGAATCTTCCTCTAAAGTCCACTGTTCAACTCCGATTCTAACGCCTGGATTCTACAACGTATACATTTCAAATGACGGAAAGCTCAAGTCCGATACTTTCGCTGTTATTGAGCTCGTCAAGCCTCCTATCATCGCATCAGTAGACCCGCTAATCGGAGATATGGACGGTGGAGAACTGGTATCCTTCGTTGGCTCTCGACTAAACACTGTATCGCACTGTCGCTTTGGTGATGTATACACGTCTGCCTCTGTGTTGAGCCCCCATCTGCTTCAGTGCGAATCGCCGAGGCAAGTCTCCTTTGGTGATGTAGCTGTCAAACTATGGGACCACGGAGCTGATATCCCCTCTCAGGAAATTCTGTTTACGTACAGAACCCCGGAACAAGCTACGAAGCGGAGACTGAGCTTGATGGAGGATGAAAATGACTTGCTCCCTATCCCGACAATTGTGTCAGTTGATCCACCTGAAGCGCCTGTTATTGGAGGTCTGATTACTGTACGTGGTCTTGACTTCTCGAATACTCTGGAGCTCGCTTGTCGAGTTGGATCGGTTGTCGTTGGAGCGAGGTTTCATTCTTCTGAACAAATTATTTGCACAACGCCTCGGCTACAACCGAATCGATACATTTTCCAGGTTTCGAATGACGGTAAAGTGTTTTCAAATAGTCCGACTAGCCTCATGGTGTACACGGACGCGTTCGTCGACTCGATTTCTCCCACTCATGGATCTCAAAATGGCGGAACCGCAGTGACGATATACGGAATGCACTTCCGGAAAAGCTCGTACTTACGGTGCAAATTTGGAGACCTCGAAGCAGTCCAGGTGGCGAAGTATGTGTCGTCTAGTGAGGTGGTTTGTATCTCTCCACCTCAGCGTGATATGACGACAGTTGTACAAGTTGCGGTGACGAATAACAACGCCACATTTACTCCTAATCCAGTGTTTTTCACGTACACGACAGCCGCAGATTTGGTATCGATTACTTCGAAGTTTGGGAGTATATCTGGAGGTACTGAGCTTCTCGTTCGATGGTACAACCTCGAGATTAACTATGACGGTTTGGTAACTTGTCGAGTTGGAAATATCGATTCTATCGGAAACGTCTTGGCATCAAATGTGGTGAAATGTATCACGCCTGGAGTGAAATATCCTGGTAAACAACCAGTACAAGTGAGTGTCAATGGCCTTGACTTCACGACACCAAGCCTGTTCTTTGAATACGTCAAGAAAATTGTGATCCATGAACTGATTCCCAACTTAGGGCCCAGTATTGACGCGAACACGGTCATGACAGTTCGCGGATCGGGCTTCATCAACTCCGTTAACCTCGCATGCCTCTTCCGGTCGGTAAAAGCTCCTGCTACTTTTGTCAACCCGAGTATGATTACCTGTGCGGTACCACGAGATTTCCCTGGCCAGGTGACTGTGCGAGTCACGAACAATGGACTGGACGCATCAACCAGCTCCGCTTTGTATCTATATCTCCAGGATATGTCGGTGTCGCGCTTATCCCCAACCAGAGGATTAAAAGAGGGAGGAACCACCGTGTTTTTCCAGGGTAGAAACTTCGTGAATCACACTCTCTTGGCTTGTCGGTTTGGCGAAATCCTAAGTCCTGCCACATACCTCTCGAACTCGGCTGCGGTTTGTGTTGCACCACGACAATTAATCGATTTAAGAAGCTCAAACGGCTCAGTTGCGGTGGAGTTGACGAACAACCAAGTGGACTTTACGCACAGTGGTCTCAAGTATACGTATCTGCAGACCTGCCCAAGTTCACACTTCTGTACTAACGGGAACATCCAAGCTTGTCCCAACGGAACAACCTGTGAAGCTCACGGCGGCACAAATTTCTCACAATGTGCTCCTGGGACGTTCCAACCCAGACAGAACCAAGTCACGTGCTTACCGTGTCCTGTTGGATATTTCTGTCCTGATCACGGCATGTCAAAGCCTGTGCTGTGTCGTGCTGGAATGGTTTGTGATGAACACGGACTGCGTACACCTGTGAAGCCATGTCCGTCGGGTCACTATTGTCGAAAAGGGACCAAAACTGCAGATATCCGCGACTTTACCACAAATTCTGAATACGCGATTGACAAGGAGACTCAACTCGCAGCTTTTGTGGAGCATTCTCGAGCGTGGGCGTTGATCCCTCGCGTTGCACCTGCAATTGGAAGTCGTCGTATTGAACATCCTCCAAGTTTAAGAAGCTGTGAGTTTCGGTTATGTGTGGAAAACAGCACACTTCTGCTTGCTGAACGACCGTATTCGTGTCCGATTGGGACGTTTTGTCGACGTGGAGTCGCTGTCCAGCAAGCCCAGACGAACAACTACAGCGCGCCACAGAACTGTTATCCTGGTTTCTTCTGTCCCCGTGGATCCTCAACGCCAGAAGGAAAAGGTCCATGTCCAACGGGTCATTACTGTCCTAACGATGTCGATGCGGTGGTGTGTCCTGCTAGTCAATATTGTCCCGGAGTCGGCAATCTACGACCGAGAGATTGTTACCCTGGCACATACAATCCGTTATCGAAGCAGTCGAACTGTACGCTCTGTCCAAGTGGCCATGTGTGTCCTCAACCGAAGATGTTGCAACCAGTATTGTGTCCTGCTGGGTTTGTCTGTATTTCCACTGGTCTGGCTGCACCAGTTCTGCTGTGTCCAGCGGGATACGTCTGTCGGGAGGGTACACGAACGTTGGATCCGTCCGATACCAGCCCATTCCGTCCAATACCCTGTCCACAAGGCACGTATTGTCTTGGCGGCGTGGCTCACAATTCTACAATCGACTGGGTTCCCAGCCGTCCGGAGGGTGCGGTAGCTCCTCAAGTTTGCACTGAAGGCACGTATTGTGAAGAAGCGACTCCCACGCTATCTGGTACTGGCGTCTGCTATGCCGGTCACTATTGTCCTCCTGGCTCGAGTGCTCCGATTCAAGCGCAAGTGGGGAGTTTTGCGGGTACAACTGGATCTGTAGTCTCCACAATGTGCTTCCCTGGCACGTACACACCTTTGAAGGCTACTGTGGAGTGTGAGATATGTCCTGCTGGTCATAGCTGTCCAGGGTACGGCACGTACATACCGTCGCTATGTCCTCGTGGCTTCTATCGGTCACTGGCGGACAGTATCACGTGTCGAGCTTGTCCGGAAGGAACATGGTCGCCTAACACGGGGTTAACTGATATTTCAAACTGTGAGATCTGTCCCGCTGGTCGAGTGTGCGGTAGCTCGGGTATGATCACAATGGCGTCAAGTTTGCCGTGTGCTGCGGGGTATGTTTGTGGCGAGGGGACAAATCGACGCGCTCAATTCGATCATTTGTGTCCTGCTGGCCACTATTGCTCTTCTGCGACTCCTATTCGTCAACAATACGCTAACGTGTGCGAGAAAGGGAACATTTGTGGACGTGGCACGAAAACGATCGAGAAGAACAAAAGCAAATGTCCGGATGGCAAGTTCTGTCCTCTCGGTACAGCGAATAGTAGTAGTATCTACATCAACTGTCCCAGTGGCACGTGGTCAAGCTCCAGTGAGGACGAGTTAGTGGATTGTAGTATTCGAGCAGTGCCGATCTGTGACAAACTACCCGAGAAGCAGTACTACCCACAGTTTAGCTACGATTTCCAAGGTACTCGCGTGAGTTTCGACTCCACAAACGAAATCAGTCGCACGGGAGAAGTGGAAGTTGTGAGCGTCGTGTACCCAGTGAACGAATCGGCTTCTCTACCGTTCTGGAAAAACGACACGGTCGATACTATTCGCGTATGTCCGCAGAAGATAGCTCCTGCCGGTGGCGTATTGTTGACTGTGATCGGTCGCAATTTCCAGAATACTGGTCGTCTTGTGTGTAAATTTCAGCTTCCAAGGTCGCCGTTCTCTCAGATTTCACCAGCGTTCTTCAGAAGCAGCACTAGAGTGGCGTGTCGTGCACCTCCTTTTGTCGGGAATACTACTGGAGCGACCGGAGTTTTGTTCTCTCAAACCGTGAAGGTAAGTGTCTCTAACTATGGCGTCCACTTTTCCACCACCACGGCTACATTCGACATCATTTCGACCAAACAAGCGGCATCGTTGAACATGAAGCACCTCACATCAATGTGTCTAAAGAGAGTGGAAAACGAGGAAGGATTCCGGAACAATGACAAGGCCTGGTTCGCTCTCACAGGACTCGGCAAGGCAAAATTATCGTTTGACTTCCGTCATCTTCCTGACGATTTAGTCTACGATGAACACTACAAGATTGCCATTTTCGTAAAGAACAGCACCTGTGAAGACCAAATTTGTGATTCTCGAGGAATTGTCCTCCCAAGTGGTCCGGATATTGAGACGTCTCCGTGCCACCGCCCCGTTGAGCTTCCGCGGTGGTTCCTTTCCACTGCAGTCAACAAGAATGACCTGCTAAATGTCACGCTACTAGCGCTGGAGGATGTGACGTTCAAAGTGGAAATTCACGTCATCTACGGATTGTACGCTTCTGTAGCTCCATTTTTCGTCAACTCGACGATCGTGAAGCTGAAAACACCGACCCGAAGCAACGCTACACAAGGTGTGACAGCCGATACGCGACCTCTATCGCGCTCTATTTCGTACGAAGCGAAGCTGGTTCCTCGCGATTACACTTTTCTCATTGCGTACTCGGGCAATGATGGAGATTATACGTCGCCTCCACTCAATCTCCCGCCGAAATACGAAGCCTACGAGCGAGGTCGTGTTTTGCTGTCACACAACGTTAGCAGTACGGCTAAAATACCGCTTGTAACTGACCCCTACAGAGATGTTGTTACGGACACGTCGTACTGGTTGATGCCCTACGGATCGGCGGCTTTGACGCATGAAAAAGTTGAAAAATACCGTGAAACGTTTCAAGAAATGTATCTGGATCCGTCAGATACCACTGGCACCCAGTATCTGTTCAAGTTTGACAGGATGCTGCTCTCTTATCTGCCGTTCTTTTCGAATTGTATGGAGTACGATTCGTACATCCCCCTGTTCGATCTCTTCGAGAGCGATCAATGCCAACTACCAGCTATGACATCGGAAGCGGGAGAGTATGGACGTACGTGGTGGCGACGAGAGTTCCCACCGTTGCCGAACCAAGATGATATTCGATACGTGGGGCCACTAGACTTCGCTCAAGAACCGACTGCGGATATTTGCATGATGAATCTCCAGTGTCATTACGAAGAGGAGTTGGCAACAGCTGATGTGACGCCACGTTGGTTTGAACAGTCGAAAGGAACGGTCCTGTATTACTTTCTGCGAGAACCAGGCACACTGGCAGACTATTTGCAAGGTGGTCAGTATTACAGCGAGATTTTGGACGAGTACGGCTCGGACTACTTCATTCCTGTCACCGTAGACAACTCTGCTGCTCAATCACTAGAGGGAGATTGCTCCACCTTGTGTTTCCCACGAACAGTAACGCTGGACGTTGCGTACTACCAGCTCGACTCTCACGTCAAGCGTATCATTATGGCGACTCTGATTTACGACAACTATGATCGAGACTCCTCCAACACAGCGTACACATTTAGTGTCAATCTGCATCCTCTCAACTACTTCCAGCTCGTTATTCAGTTCGCATTCGAGAAACAAGTATTCGTTGGACTCTTTTTCGTACTAGGCGGGATGATGACGGTCGGTGCTCTTATCTTCTGGATCGTAGTACGTATCACGTCGCATCTGCAGTCACCTCCGCGTTTCCGATTTTGGACTGTGTTCGCTTTGATCGCTCCACCACCTTCTGTCGGTGTAGCAATGGCTTCGCTCCCTATTTTCTCTGTGGTCTTTAGCTTCTACTTTCTACTGAACGGTGACCAATTCCTCAACTCGAATGGCTACTGGCTTATGGACAATATCGTCCGACACTTCCTCGAAACCAAAATCAACCCGGAAGTGGTAGCAGAAACCCGAAAAGGACGCATCGGCGTGTGTTTCTTCTTCTTCGGCCTCTACCTCATCGTGCTGGGTACTCGTATCTTCCTTCCTAAGCCGATCGCGATCTCCGAAAAGGTCATGGCTGAGCAGAATGACCGTGACGCCCAGGAGCGCAGTATCTGGTGGCCTACTCAATGGAAGCGAGCGAATATGATCTTTGCGTCGATTATGCTGGGTCTCTTCCTTGTTCTAATGCTCGAGTTTTCGTTCTGGAGCTCATTCGGAGACTACATGTTCTACGTGATTGTAGCTCAAGAGATCATCAACGCAATCATGGAAGGTTGGATCGAATCCCAGCTGAAAGAGGCCTTGTTGATGGCTCCTCTGGTCTCAGCTCTCAGTCTCATTGGAGGAATCATGACATTCGGTGCCACGGACTTTGGAGATTTCGTGCTGGGTAATACTCTCGACTTCGGTATGATGATATTGATGCGTGTATATGCCGATACAGTCATCGAAGCGATCACGGATTTCTTCAAAGATATTGCGCGTTACGTATGGGGTAAAATGAAAATTATCGGTCGTGGTACACTGCTATTATTCAGAAGCTTTACACGATCAACTGCTGTTGTCACGGATGCTGAGGCGACGAAAAAGGAGAAAACGAAAGGCAAGGAAGAAGCTAAAGCGGAAGAGAGTAGTGACGCGGAAACGGTGGAACCCATTATCGACTTCTACGCTATGGCCTCCATGGAGAGACTGGCGCTGTTTTACCAGCCTGTGCTGATACTCATCATGATGTTCTTCCGTGAAGAAGTTCAGCTTCCAATACTGTACAATATTCGTGAGAAGGATATGGAAATCTATCTCTGGTATTCCCTCATTATCTTACTATTCCAGCTCGTGACGGAGGTATTCGTGCTGAACGTAGTCGAGATTTTCCAGGGCTGGAAACTATACGATTACCTCGTGTATTGTCGATACCGCTTCTTGCAACGCGAGAAGCGCTGGAAAGGTATGGAGCCGAATCTGGACGAATGTATCGATGAAGGACTGCGTACACTGGACCAAATGTGCTTCTCGTCACAATTTTTCATGATGTGCACTATTCACATCACCGGGATTCTGTTCTTCGTCGTGGGTATTGAAATCATGGCCCGAGCGAGCTACAACCTCTTTGGTGACCCCGCTATGCCGCTGCTACTCGCGTTCGTGCTTGCAGTTTCAGTGTTCGTGCGTGCGTTGGTGATGTTCTTAGCTGTACGCTTTGAGGTCTGGAAAATCAAACACGAGAACACGGCGTGGCTCGCCGCACCTGACGAAGATGACGAGTTCGGTGTACCGCGTTGGGGCGAACTGGAGAAAATTAAAGGAGCGTCACACGAAGCGTACATGATGAATCAACGCATCACATCCGATACATTCCGCAACAAGTTCCTCAACTACAATCGGTCGTGGCTAGTGAACCAGCTGCCATCCGTCCTCACTCCACGTACCTTACGTCGTGCGAGACCATATCTTTTAGCTCAATTCGCCAAGATCCTCGACAGTCTGAACCCGCAAGTCTCGGACGACGAAGAAGACGACGACGGGCGTCCTCGCTTTGGTCCAGTGACTTTATCTGCGCCGTCTCGCACCATTATCCGCCTCTGGCTTGCTCGAGCTCGACGTATTCTACGACTAAAAACGGTTGTCCAGCCTTTGATTCAAGCAGCTCGAAAGAGTGAGTGCGAAATGTGCCTCTCTCGTCGTCAGCTTCAAGTCGAAATGTCCATTCCGATTGAAGTGCTAGGCGACAAGTTCGACAGTCAGAACCTCGCCGAAGAGTTCGATGCTGCAGCCTGGAAAGCCTTCTTCTCCAAGCATCAGAAGTTTCAAACGCTCTGTCTTAACTGCATCGTGCACCTTAAAACCACCGGTCAGCTTGGAGATCTACGCGGTATCGGCCGTGGTGACGATGGCATGGGAGACGAAGGCTTGAATGCTACTCCGCTGAACGCTGCGTCCTATGCTCTAGTGCAGAAATGGTATCGTAAAGCTCAAGATCGTGTGTTCGGGAAGAGTGGAAAGCGTCGTCAACAACTTGATGTGAGTGACGACGAAGAGGAAACGATGCAACATCGCTTTGAATGGACGCGGCAGCCAGTGGCACTTAACGCTGCGTCTACTGCAGTAGCGAGGAAGTGGCTACTTGCTGCTCGTCACAAGCTCCGTGAACCAGGTCGCGCTCGCGACCAGCTACCAGCAAACTTAACTGCAATTCACCCGTCCGTAAGAGGTGGAGCCACGCCGGTCCCCAAGCCTGCGATGAAGATGGGAGCTGCGGGCGGCGAAGCTGTCAAGGCGTCCAAAATGCGTCGCAAATGAGATAAAGTCTAGGAGTTGAACCACACAGATACATATCTAAAATGCATTCTTTTCTATGAGAACTCTTGAGCTTAGGTGACCTTCTTGGCCAAGTTCTTGAAGCCCACACCCAGACATGAGAGCAACACCGTCTTGGTCTCGGGGTCGGGTTTGATCTTGAATATGACGCCGAAGAAGTCGCGTAGATGACGTAGACACTCGATACTGTAGGGCGTGAGCTTTCCCACACGCACCTTGGCGACATCTTCTGGTCCGAGAGCCATGAGCAACAGCACAAGAGCTTGGTTGGTCGAGTCCACGCATCCACCTTTCTGAATCTCTTCGCACATAGCGTGCGAAGCTCGTGTAGCCACATCTTCTGGTAGGTCTCCAGGCTCGGCAGCGGCCTCTGCACCCAGGAAGACTCCTGTGGTCGTCTCGGCCACTAAACTCAGTGCAAACCCTGGAGATTGCCCGGACTCGTTGCCCTTGTAGTGGTCTGAGTAGATGTAGACGTCAGGAAGTAGCTTGTTGAAGAGGCCGCGACTGGTCTCCACGATGCGGTTAGACGTCTGCGGGGACACGCGCGTACTGTACGCGACGCCACGTACACGCTTGATGAAGCCTTCGTCCACCAGGTGAATAGCCTTAAGCTGACGAACCAGCGGACACCGGAAGATAACCTGTCCACCTCCAAGCGGCGGAGCGCCGCGTTTCTTGACCACTAGATCCAGCCCTTCTTCCAGTCCGAAATGCCGCAGCAGCGGCAGTGTTGTTGCCTTAAAGCTGTCCACCGAACTGTCCACATGGTCATTGGTCACACCGTCCAGCGTCGCGTGCAGTGGCAGCTTGGCAAAAGGTGCGAGAGCTGCGAGAACTTCGAGAAACCAGCCGACGGCGCGTCCAGTGCCGCAGTCGTGGGTTATACGGCCACCTAGTACAAGTCCTGGTTGGAACTTGAGCTTAGTGCCCGTCTCGTTGATCTCCAAGTGGCTACCGCTTGTCACGCGGTCCAGTAGCCGCAATAGGCTCGCTTCGAACGCTGTGAGGCCAGGGTTCTCGTCTTCTGAACGGATATCCTCGATGATCAATGGTCGACCGCTCAGAGTAGCGCATACTAGACGCTGACGAAAGTGCGCGCAGCCCCGGAAGCGCAGCACCGTGGAGCGACGGGAAGACGAAGCCCGAGCCATTGCGAACGTGATAATGATTGACTGGAGCAAAATGGATGGCGATGATTGGACTATTTTGGACACTTAACAAAATAAGTGTCAATTTGCATTTCAAATAATTTTATAAAATTTAAAAACAAATTATCAAATGAAAAAAATAGCGTTGCGAAAATAATTTTGGCTGAGCTAAAATAATATTAATTTTTGAGGACGCACAGTGTCATTTCGCTCGCAGAATTTACGAGTACGGCGCCTCAGTTACTGCAACCATAATGAGCCAGAAGTTTGATCTGCTGGACTGCGAATAAAGTGGAGAGCTATTGACGTTGCCACTGCATTGTTGTGAAGCTCGGCTGAAGGTTTTTGCCGCCACCGTGAGCAGGGCCTTAAGAGCATCTCCAGCGGCAGGTCTTAAAGGCGGGTTTATCCTAAAAGTAGCACGGTTCGACCTCGGACGAGTTTTAAAGCATCCAGCGGTGAGTCTTAACACAGGTCTTAACTTCACGAGGTCCTATCGGATGAGACTCCGGGCTTAAAATAAGACTCGAGTTTTATCGCTGCAGACGCGAATCGTCGCTGGGAAGATCACAGAGCTATGGGGAAGGGTTCCGTGTGGAGCGAGCACGAGACTGTGCAGCTCTGTCTTGCATGGCTTGCGACTTCAGAAGACCCAATCCGTGGTGCAGGTCAGAAGAAGGCATCATTCTTTGAGCGTGTTTACCAGCAGTGGTGCAAGAACGTCGGTCCTGACGCCGATCTTCGCTCGACAACAGCCATAGCAGGCCGGTGGAAGAAGCTTCTTCCTGAAGTGACAAAGTTCGAGGGAATTTTTACTAAGCTAAAGAGCCAACCACGGTCGGGTTGGAGTGAGCCGATGTACGTCGAGAACACGGCGAAGATATACGAAGAGCGCACGAAACATCCGTTTGAGTATCTGGCGGCGTGGAAGGAGCTGCGTGATAAGCCGAAGTGGACCGGGAAATTGACTACTTCTATTCATGCTGGCAACAAACGCAAGTCGGGTGACGGTGATTTGGTTGCGCGTCCAGAGGGACAGAAAGCGGCCAAGATGAAGAAGGCTCGGGATGACACCAACTTACCCGTCGATGCCCACATGCGCTTTGTCGCCGCGTCCGAGGAGAAAGCAGATATATTAGAGCAGCAACTTCACTTCAGCCTATTCATGCAATCACCTGACAGCGAGGAGTCAAAAGAGTACTTTGCTCTCCGCCGCAAAACTATTCTTGCGCAGCTACGAGCTGCAGATCGTGAAGCTGCTGGGTGTCATAACACCAGGTTGGCCGAGCATGAAGAGAATCGAAGTGGCTCTCGCGGAACCAGCGAGGTTTTCATTGCGCAAGGATCGATCGATCAGCTGTTGGGAAGCCCACAGAGCTCATCAGACAAAGAGAACAGCCCGAGCACAGAAGCCAGTTTTCCAGCATCGGCGATGTTGTAGCTGCGTCAGCGTCTACGACGCCCTCCTTTCTCACAATTTCCAAACATTTGCCATATGTTTTCTACCAGGTCGTTCTTTAAAGCATAATTCAAGTTTTCATCTTCCACGGCAAGCAGCTCTTGTATAATTTTTGTGACTGGGCATGTTACATGTTGTGTTGGTGGTGCCGGGCTTACCCAGTTATCCTTGTACAAATACTTGTTGTTCAAGGTGCTGTCGCCAGTTTCATTTTCGATGATCATGTTATGGAGAATGATGCAGGTCATCACAACGGATCCCATCGCATTCACACTCCAAAGTTTGCAGGGTACAGCTAGAATTCGAAAGCGCTGCTGCAGCACGCCAAAAGCGCGTTCGATATCTTTTCGAGCCGCTTCGTGAACTGTTTTATATTTCGAATACCTTTGGTTGATTGGCTCAGCGATACTTTGCTGGAAAATTGCCCAAGCTGGGTAAATACCATCCGTCAAGTAGTACGCTCGATCATACACTGCACCATTAACACTGAGCGCTACAGTCGGGGCTTCACTGTTTACCAAGTCGTCTAACAGTGGTGAACGCTCCCGAACATTTAAGTCGTTATTAGAGCCTGGCGTCCCGAAAAATGCGTGCCATATCCAGAGAGATTGCGACGCCACAGCCTCTATGATTACCGTTTTGGCCTTCTCCTTTCCCTTGAAAGCTCCTGCCCACGCTACGGGGCAGTTCTTCCACGCCCAATGCATGCAATCTAGGCTTCCAATCATCCCAGGGAACCCACGAGCAGCATTTTCTGCTAAAAGTATCTTAACGTCAAATGGAGTCGGCTTTCGAAGGTATTCAGGCCCAAAAATACGCATCACAGCGCTGCAAAACTTTTCCATTGTCTCGAGTACCGTAGATTCGCCAATGCGTATCAGTTCATCAAGTTGATCCGCACATGCACCGTAAGCGAGCATACGTAGGGCACAAGTTACCTTTTGCTCTGGTAGAAAGCCTAGAAGACCAGTAGCATCGGGTCTCTGTGTAAAATAGTTGCTTTAAGTGTCCTCCACAAGAGCGGAAACAACTCGCTCAAAAACCTCACGACGCATTCGAAACCTCCGTCGAAAGTCTCCTACGTCAGTACAGCACATCAGCACATTCTCATGTGTACGCAATAGCATTAAAAATATGATCTCGTACGGGCATCATAGGTTGGATTGTCCCCGAAGTAGTCTGACATAAGCTCTTCCCCCCACTTTGATCGTTTTCGCTCCTTGTCGGCACGCTTTCCCGGCTCTGAACCCCCGTGCTTGCGCTTGGTCTTTGTTTGCGCCTCTGGCAGGATAAACAACCGAAAGTACTCGTCATCCGAGTCGTCTGCGTTCTCCATAGCCCCCAACATCCACGGTGGGAGCGACATCGACCTGGAAGAAGATTCAGGGGGTAATTACGACTGCTGATTAAGACTTCCTGCTGGCAAAACGGAGAGACTCGTGGGTCTTATTTTAAAACTCAGGATCCCGAAGCGTCGCCGTTAAGCCTTAGGATAAGACTTGCCGCTGGAGATGCTCTAAGTGTTCTCAAGCGAGCCGGTGAAATGCAATCTTCGTCGAAGTACTACATGTAGCCATTGGCCAGTAGCCAGGGTGTGCCAACCTCACCTTTAGCAATGACGCTGTGCTGACAACAGCGTTGTTTGCCGTAGCCTACCCTGTGTGCCATCATCGGAGCCAGCACTGCCAATCATTTTTCGAAGTCCGCACTGTTTCTGTCTAAAATACCTTCCGGTGATGTAGGGTACAACGGCGGTACAGTGCGCGTCGTAATTATAGCCGCACCTGAAAAATAGAGCTCTTGCGCCAGAAACTGAGAGCTGCCTGCAATCGAAGGGCTCGGAGGCCGTCTTAAAGGGATAGAAGACTTGTGCAGCAAGCGAGGTTGAAAACGACTAAGTCGGCTTGGAGCCAGGAGGCAAAATCTGGTTTGAGGTCGGGTCAGAATTATAGCCGCACTTGCAGGCTCTACATGCAAACGGCTCTAGTAACCCGTCTTAGCTCCTTTTAATAGCCGCGTCGCTTCCAGCCGCTTTGGGACGCTTCGCACTAGCTTCTTAACATACTCAGGATCAATGCGAGACCACTCTAACTTGATCTGTCTGATCAAGTCGGCAGGCTTGTCAAATTGGCGTCCGTTGGCGTACACCCGGCGAGCTAGAAGCCCCCACACGTTCTCTATGATGTTCAGATCGGGGCTTTTGGCAGGCCACGCCATTGGTTCGATGTTATGGGTGGCTAGGAAGTCCTTGGTGAACCTCGAGGCATGTATGGACGCGTTATCATGTTGGAAAATGGGGGTCAAATTGCCCAACTTTGACCCCAGTTCTCTTAGGCATGGAAGCATGCCGGAGGTCAGCGTCTCGGTGTACTTGACAGAGTTCTGCTTCCCCTTGAGGAAGACCAGCTCGGTGTTGCCATGCCAGCTCACCCCCGCCCAGATCATGACGCTTCCTCCACCATTGACCCGCTTCGACATGAGTTTGGGTGCTGCTCGCAAGTCGTGCCAGTAGAATCTAAACCCATCAGGGCCATCTAGGTTGAACTTCTTCTCATCCGTGAACAGCACGCGTCTCCAAAAGACCCTTTTACCGGCGTAACGCTCCGCAAATGCCACCCTAGCCTTCTTATGATGCGGCTTGATGGCAGGGGTAAGTCTTCTCTTCGCGTACGTGACGTAGCGGTTGCTACGTAGTACGCGGAGTACCGTAGACTTGCTTGGTGTCGATGGGAGCAGTCCTGCGATCTCTTGGGCGGACAGGTTTCGAACTATTGCCAGTCGAACGACGCGCCTGGCCTCCCGGCCAACTATTTTCGGCTTTCTTCCTGTCCTCTTCGTCAGCGAGGACGCCTTCCCGCGCTTCAAGTAGTTCCTTATTGCCTTCTCGTCGCGTCCTAAGAGCCTGCCGATCTCTCGGTTGCTTTTTCCGCCTCTGTAGTGCTCGTTTATTATCATGCACTCCTCCTCGGTTAGCTGCTTGCCTCGTGGCATCGTTTCTGGCTTCCCTGCGAATCTAAGAATAGGTTCTAAAAGGTCTTTCACACGGCTGTCCACAGGTCTCATTTATTACATTTGAAAGTCAATCATTTTTGTTTATTACTTTACTGAATTTTAAATTACCAAGTGCGGCTATAAATCTGACCCGACCTCAAACCAGATTTTGCCTCCTGGCTCCAAGCCGACTTAGTCGTTTTCAACCTCGCTTGCTGCACAAGTCTTCTATCCCTTCTAGACGGCCTCCGAGCCCTTCGATTGCAGGCAGCTCTCAGTTTCTGGCGCAAGAGCTCTATTTTTCAGGTGCGGCTATAATTACGACGCGCACTGTATCCACTGTGCAAGGAAATTACAAGATGCAAAGAGGACTTTAATGTTCATCACTACAGTAGAGGACAAAATGAAAAGACTCCGCCTTGTCCGTTTGCTCACCCTTCTCCTCTATTCGTTTCACCAAGAAACGTCACGGTGACTGCACGGTGGCAGTTTGGACATCCACCCCTCACAAACTTGAAGACAAGCCACCGTATCACATAAAAGTGAAGCGACGCCCGCGATCCGGTCAGGCAGCCAGTCAGTCATTTCTCCACTTGCGTCCCAGGCCCAACGACCGCATCAAAAGTACTGTACTCCGCAATGCTGAACCAGAAGAAGCTCTCGACCTTAGCGACGCAAGTGGCCAAGGTGAATTCTCCACGCGTGGCGTCGCCTCCGTCCGACAGCAAACGATCGCCCACCTATTCGTCTACAGATCCGCAGCTCCGTCAGCGTCCCGAGGAGCTCGAGCAACTGGCCACAGAGCTACGCGACCAGGTGGCTGATACGCGCCCAGAGCTGCTGCCCCTTTTAAAGTCCTTACCGACAGTAACTCGGTCATGGAACCTTCAAAAACCTTCCGACGCCGTAGCACTGAGTGCGCTGCTACAAGACCGACTGTTGTGTCTGCCCGAGCTCAACCGCAACTCGCCGTGCTACAGCGCACGCGACCTGGTGTTGCTGTACACGAAGCTCAAATACCTTGAGACCTTCTCTCAATCCGAGCTGGCCGAATACGCCAATACCGTGGCCTCCTCAGCGTCGCCTCTCGAAGCCGCAGCTGTAGTGCGAATCCGACAGGAAGAAGTGCGCGTTGTACGGCAGTTGGCCACTGTGGGGAACACCACCGAGTTGTTCTCACGACTTGCCACACTACTGCACATCCCGTGCCACGGTGATGCGTGGAATGAGATCGTCAAGTTCGCAGCCAACGCTCTGCCCTTCGCAGAGCAGACTGAGTCGCTATTGGTGCGCGGCTCGGACGACAGATCTGCGCTTTGTCCGCTCACTAAAACCAACAATTACAACGCGTCCACGATCCCATTGGCCACAGATGTGGCTCGTGGGAGCTGCACGTGCTCCAGTATCACACTGCAAGCCTTCGAACGGTGTGAAAAACTGCGTCAGGAGTTGCTACTGAATTCCTTGTCTATCAACCCCAACGCCAAGAGCTCCAGTGCACTATTTAACACTAAAATGCGTGCAGTTCGAGCACGGATAGCCTCCTGTCTCGACGTATCCGACCTGGTTGCTGACAACCAACTGAGAATTCTGTTGTCACCTTCCGGAACAGATGCAGAGCTGTTGGCTACAGTCGCAGGACTTGCGAGACTTTACTCGGGATTGGGTGAGGAGGAAAATTTGCCTGGTGGTGTCGGACCGGAGCATTGCAAAGTGACTAGCATCATCACAGCTGGAGGCGAGATCGGTCGGGGCTCGAATAGTGCTTCTGGTGGCAAACACTTTAGCAATTTGACGCCTAGCGGAGAGGCTGGCACAGCTGGACAGCCACTACGAAAGTTCCCAATCGACCTCGTCGATGTGGTGACGATGCCAGCTAGAGACGATAACGGCGATATCAACCGTATCGACGATGACGTTCGAGAACTGGTACAAGAGCGACTGGATCGCGGTGGAGGTGTGGTCTTATTACACGTTGTGGTCGGAGCCAAAACGGGTTATGCCTGTCCCTCGATGCCCATGGTGGACGCTTTAGCTGTGGAATATCCGTATCGACTGCTGGTGGTCGTGGATGCTTGTCAGATGCGCATTGATAGATCATTGTACCGGGAATGGGCTACGAAGGGTTATGTGGTGCTGACTACAGGCTCCAAGTTCTTTGGGGGTTCTCCATTCTGCGGTGCTGTGTTGATGCCTATGCGTTGTGTGTATGAGATGGAAGCCGCAGCGGTCGAACGTCACTCGGAAGTGGCAGTTCCTCTTGGTCTAGAAGATTACTTCTCCAGATACGATATGCCCGAGAGTATGCGCAACATTCGTGCGAGACTAGGGACCAACATGAATGCTGGACTGTTGCTACGCTGGGAGACTGCACTCGTCAACATGGAACCATACTGCTGTATCCCTCCGAAAGACATCGCAGCTATCTGTAAGCTGTACATGAACACGTGTAGAACGAAGATGCAGTCCATGTGGGGGCACATGGTCGAGTTACTGACTCCACCAGAGCCAACCGAGAATGACGGTACAAGCACAGTGACGCCTATGGACACTATTGTATCGTTCAAAGTACGTCATGAGAATGGCGGGTTTCTCGATATGGCAGCTCTCAAGGCTCTACACACTCTGCTATCCAAGGACTTGGCGGGTGCATTACCAGATGACGCCTTGGCCAAGAAGCGTTGTCTATTGGGACAACCTGTATCGCTCGGTAAAAGTGGAGCTGTGATTCGTATTGCTGTGGGCGCAGACATGGTGAACGACGTGTATGTCCGAGGTAAAGGCGAAAGCGACTTCGCGGCTGCCATCGAGCCTCTGTCCCAGGACGACGACGCTGTTTTAAACAAGATCGCGTTGATTCTGCATCACTGGAAACTGCTCCACCACAAGTACATCGAAGAATGCGTTGAGTCGACTCCACTGGAGCCTCTCAAACCGCTTAGTGACTGGGACTTTAGCGTTAAGGATGCCCAAGTTGCACGTGTGGTACAGCACATGATTGAGGAGCGTGTGCTGGCGAATGAAGACCAACCCGAGGACGAGACCAAGCTAGCTGTCGTGTATGATCTGGACGCCATCGATATGGCATTCCAGGCACTCTTGACCTCTTTTCCTGTGCACTTTGAGCACCGCTTTGCGATGAAGTCGTGCCCATTGTCGTTCTTCATCAAGCGAGCGATTGAAAACGATGTCGGGCTCGAGTGTGCGTCGATTGTAGAAGTAAAGCACGCCTTGCGACTGGGCTGTCCACCTCACCGTATTGTTTTCGACAGTCCGTGCAAGACTCGACGTGATCTCCAGTTCGCCATCATCGCTGGAGTGGAAGTGAACGCTGACAACTTCGACGAGCTTGACATCATTCGAGAACATGCTGAGGCCATTTTCCAGTCCAGTTTTCCGGAATGCACTCCTCGTTATGCTGGTAATTTGCCTCGGATCGGACTGCGTATCAACCCGCTACTCGGAGCAGGCGCCAACTCGTGCCTCAGTGTCTCCACGGTGCAGTCCAAGTTCGGTGTGCCACTCACTGCTGAGAACCGCGCAAGAATAATCGCCTTCTTCTGTGCGAACCCGTACATGACAGGCTTGCACGCTCACGTTGGCTCTCAAGGGTGTTCGCTTGAGATGCTGTCACAGGGTGCTGTCGTATTGAGCGAATTGGCGAACGAGATCGACGCTGCGGCAGGCACCAGTCGAATCAAAGTGCTTAACATCGGTGGAGGCCTGTCGACCAATTTTGACGACGAGGAAGTGTCTCCGACTTTCGCCGAGTACGTGGAGGTTCTTCGTCGTGAAGCTCCACAATTGTTCAAGCGTACGGGTCGTACCATTTTAACGGAGTTTGGAAGCAGCGTCAGCTCGAAGACTGGCTGGGTCGTTAGTGAAGTGGAGTACGTCAAGGCTCATCCGCAAGTGGATGGCGACGACCTCACTCAGACCGCCATAATCCACGCTGGATCCGACCTCTTTTTGCGCGCTTGCTACCGTCCTGAACTCTTTGCTCGTCGAATGTCCGTCTACAAGTACGTATCGTCAACTAACTTGCTAAAAGTGCTGCTGGATAGGCTGCATTCTAACGTTTATCTTGATTTTCTGTGCGTAACAGTCCTGCTGGTTTAGTGTCGATGGCCCCGGTGTCAGTACAGAACGTGGCAGGGCCACTTTGCTTTGGCGGCGATATGGTGGGTCGACGTGTCGAGTTGCCTACCATTTCGCAAGGTGACTTTGTCGTGGTTCATGATACGGGAGCCAACACAATGTCGATGTTCAGTCGCCACTGCAGTCGTCCTGCACCTGCTGTCTTCGGCTACCGCGCAAGTGAGGACGAAGTTTCTTTGCAGCTACTCAAGGCAGCTGAAACGCCAGAGCAGGTAATGAGTTTCTGGGGATAAAAACTTAAGGCTATTGCTCTATAGACATTAGAAATTGATAGATACAGCAAGTGAAAATCTCTTTGCTCAAACCCAGATTCATATTTGTGGTTTTTGAGAGCGCAGTTTGGCCACAAGCGTTTGAACTTTTCCGTCTTTGAGTCGCACAAGTTGCTCGAGTTTCTGCACTTTCATTTCCAGGATTTGGACGGTCTCACGAAGCTCTGCAATGACGTTGTCCTTCTCCGCCAGCTCTTGACGTGCGTGTTCGCTCTTTGAGCTCTCGCTGCTTGATGTGTATGATTTCCCAATTGAATCCATGGGATGCACCGGTGCTACTGGCGCTTCCATGTATCTACTCATGTCGCCGCCGTCCTGCATGGATAAATCTTGCATTGGTGTCAACAGCTCACGCGAGTCACTGAATTTGTCAACTGAAGGTTGCATCGCACGGTTGCTACCAGCAAAAGGGCTTCCGTTAGCCACCGTGCCAGCTACTGCTGTGTTTCCGGAGATAGCGCTGCTTGTATCATCTACATTATCATTCACCGCTTGAGGCACTAAAGAATATGACGGACGCTTCTCACGGTAATTGGCAATCTATCCGAGCACAGTTGGGGAGCTTAGAAAGAGGGATTAGAAGCACTAGATCCAGACGTTCGCATACCTTAATTTGAAGTTTCACCAGTAGATGCTCTATTGCGCCTGATTGACACTGCACCAGGTCATCGACATCCTCTTTCGAAAGAGAAATATGAAGCTTCCTGAACACTTTCCCTGCATACGACACATGCACAGTGTCAAACCAGCAATTCTGCTACTGAATGCAAGAAGCTTCCTCACGATTGAGTGTGTTCCAGTTGTATTGCTTCTGCTTGATGGAATTGGCTGCGCTGTAGTTGTGCATCTGCACGAGCTTCGGGAAGTAAAAGGCCACTACTTCTGCTGCTAGTATCCCATCGCTAAAGTCGCGAGCAATGCTCTTCTTGGGCCGGGAAAGCGGGATCTCGTCGATCCAGGCGTACACACGCTGCAGCGTCTCGTCATCAAGCGGTAGATCCATCATGCTCTCGTTTCTTTTCACCCAGAGCGCATGCACTGCTATCAAATTAACGCACAAAATAACCTCCCCCCACCAATCCGAAGAGACGCTAACCGTTAGTCATTCTCAAAACCTCTATTGCACGTCGGCCTTAAAATCTCCTCATCCCACATTAATGTTCAGCCCCCAAGTCGACGTAGAGCTGCTTCACTCATTAGTTTGCGTTTGTGTGCATTGACACAGTCCGTGGAGCAGTATTTGAACTCTAAACGAGTGAACGGAGACTTGCCAGCATACTTGCCACAGAAGTCACAAGCCAAGCCTGCAGCGATCTTCCGCTCCATTTCTTCCTGACGTTCAGCTTCGATCCGCTTCTGCTCAGTCGCTTCTTCTTCTGCTGTTTCTTGCGTTCTCGAGCGCGCTTGCGCTTTTCAGCTTCCTTTTCTTTCTTGCGCTGCTCCATTTCACTAGTGAGGCCCTCGGGGATCTGCGCCGTTGCGTAATCCCACGCGTCCGGGTGTTCGCCCATGAACCTTCGGAATGCGTTTCGAGTCTCCTTCGAGTTGCACAAGAAATATGGCGGTCGGTTGTGAAGGTCCAAGAGCGCTGGGTTGGCTCCTTGCTCTAATAGATACTCCACCATTGATACTGCGTTCTTCGCAGCTGCGTGATGAAGAGCAGTCATGAACTTGACGTCCACCTCGTTTACAACAGAGCTCTTGTCTTCCGCATTGGACAGCAGCTGCTGGGCTCCCTTGAGGTCACCATCATTCACCAGCAGAATAATCTGAGGCACATTCTCTTCCTCCTCTGAAGTCTCCGCCTTAACTTCAGCCTCAGGTACAGGATCACAGGTCTGCTTCTTCTTTTTCTTCTTCGCTTTCTTGATACTGTCGGTAGGAGACGCAGTATCAGCTTCCAGCGGCGAGAATCGCACGGTACTGAGGTCAGAACGCACTCGACAGACCTCCTCGAACGTCGGTCGAAACGTAGCGAACGGAATTCGCTTCAAGCGCTTATCATCTGACTGCAGCACCGCGTTCTTCTCCGGAAAGAATGTGGCGCGCTCTGTCTTCCCACTTGATATGAAAATGAGCTCCACATCCTTCAGCACGTCCTTCCACTCCAGTAGCAACGCTGCTACGTCCTGCTTCAACGCTGCTTCATTATACCGTCGCAGTGTAGCACCTGCTGACTTAGCCTTGCCACTAGCGTCGCTGGCTGACTGTGCGCCACCCTGTTTCCTTCTCGTCGTGTACCTCTGGAACGTCTTATGACACAGAGCCTTGTCCTTGTCAAACACAGCTCCAGCAAAGCGTCCACTACGCAGCAGGAAGACTGCCCACCTGAACTTTGATGCACAGATCTTGTCCAGTGCAGTGTATGGGTTGAATGTCTCCTCGTCCACGTCAGGAAGAATGTTTTTGAACACCTTGAAGACACTCGTGCCATCTGAAAATTCAACCACAGGCTCCGAAGTTGTAGCAACCTTTTCCTCCTCTTCCTCCGACAGCGACGAAGAAGACGAGGACGACAAGTAGCCACCATCTTTCTCCTTCTCCTGGCTTTGGGTCTCTAGATACTGCAGCGCTTCCTGTTCCGGCAGGCTCGACAGGCCCTTTGCTCTCCTTTTAAGGTTCACGCAGTGCGTTCCCGACTTAAAGTGCACGTGCTGCTCGTCCAACGAGGCGAAGGAGGCCACGTCGCATGCGCCGCAGCGAAGACCAACATTCATGCGTTCATCCAGCGCTGCCGTCTGAAGACGCAATGACATGTCCGATGTGGTGCTTAGTACATCGCTTTGGGCTCCTGGACGTTCAAACTGCCGTGAGCTTCCGGCCACAGCTCGAACAGTCCAGTGAGACGTTTGAGAGGGAGTCAGGTCGCTCAGCGCAATGCGCCCGTAAGTCTGCGCAGGCTTTTTAGACGTCATCGCAAGGGCGAATTTGCAGGAATGACTCGGGTGCGGATAATGAAATGAAACCTTCCACAAGGAATGACTGAATATTCTAAAGTAGAAAGGTGAGTGGTGGTCTTTCGACTATACCTACAGAAACGCAAGTATATGAATTACGACAGGTGGAAGATAACTGCTCTAAAGTGAAGAAGAGGACAAAAAGCAGCGAGGATGCCGTCCCTCGAACAGCGGAAGCGGCCGACGGCGTGCGGTACAGGATTCAACGTTCGTCTGTGGTGCAACACTGACCCATGCGGGATTGTATGCGCCGTCATCTCGTGGTTCTTGGTGCTTTACGCCGAATTCACCGTCGTGGTAGGTCGCCGACCCTCGCAGCATGTGCAGCTCATCCATTAACGCTGCTGTTGTGCTCGCTATAGGGCGTGGTGGTGTACCCGTGGATGGGTCTGTCGCCTTTGGGTCTGCTTCATATCGCTATCTTCACAGGGCTTTGCTTCCTGGCGCTAGTATCGCACGGAAAAGGTCGCAGATAGCGCTTAAAACTGGAAAAATGGGTGAAAATCTGATTATGTTGGTGCTTTCATGTGATTTAGCCATGCTGACGGACCCTGGATCTGTTCCCGAGTCGGCACTACCGCTGGCATTAGCAAACGCGTCTAAGGACGAAATTTCCAGGTAGGGGAGACCTGGCAATACGGCGTAAAGACTGCTGCTGACTGCTTATTGCTGCTGCAGACTGGAGGAGCAGAAATACCGGACGTGCCGTCGGTGCCGCCAGTTTAAGCCGGGGAGAGCGCATCATTGCTCGATCTGCGATCGCTGCGTCATCAAGATGGACCACCATTGCCCCTGGGTGAACAACTGCGTGGGACTGGGCAACCACAAGTTCTTCCTCCTCTTCATCTTCTACGTGTTCATGCTATCGGCCTATGCATTGACGCTGGTGTTCTTCCGCTACGCTAAGTGCATCAATGAGTCGTACGTGGAACTGCAGATGCTTCTAATGAAAAACTGGACTAACTTATTATTGTTGTGACTCTAGCTGCCCAACGTACGGAGCTATTCGGGTTGTCTGCTTGATTCTTGAGGCCGTGCTCTTTGGTCTCTTCACCATGTGCATGATGTGCGACCAGTACAGCGTCATCACCACAGGAACTACACAGATTGACCGTCTCAAGGGCGAAAGTGCAGATAACCTTGGTCTACGAGAAGTTTTCGGCGGCGCAGACTGCAAATTCTCTTTACATTGGCTCCTCCCAGTGAACATTTGGTTCCCAACGTAGGGCTGGATCGTCAGGCTCCTCGCTAATTGCACATACTCACCGTAGCTTTCCATTCGTTTCTGGTGCTCAGGTCGGTAAAGAACCAAGTACTGGGCTACGTGCTTGAACACGAGCTAATATTCTCCGAGGACGAAACCTCGGAGATGGATACTTTCCTTGACGACGACAGCGTGTCCGATACTGCCATCACGATGACAACGGAAACTTTGGAGGGCGGCTGGTCCGTGGAGAAACGAGTGCCAGCCAGTGAAGCAGCTGACGTCGTGTAGTAACGGTAGGCGGAAAGCACCGAATCGTATAGTAATAAGCCTGGGCAGAGCAGTACGGAGCAACCAATGCGTAGCATTCATACTGGAAGCTGTCTTCACCAACAGCAAGCTTCCTCAATGCATTCACTTCGCTCTTCGCGTAATCTGTAAGCCAAAACAGGCACGTTCTTCGATCGGTAGGTAGGTGGGGTTATTTGTTCGAGTTACAGGAAGGTTCCGGCGCTGGGAATGGCATCGCTTGGATATTATATTGTTCGGACACCAAATCGTCTTTGCTGTACAGCTCGCGACCCAATCTCAAGATTGAGGTCGTCAGGAAATGTGTCTCGACGATTGAGCAACGGCTCCCTCGAGTGGCGCGCTGACTCAGCGCGCCACTTTTCTGTTTCCGGTTCCTGCTCAGCGGCTGAGCAGGAACCGGAAACAGAAAAGTAATGGATGATAGAAAGCTCTTCATGTTTCATCGATCATAACACACAGGTACACCCAACAGCTAAGATAAAAAGAGGACCTTCAAGAAAGGTGGGTTTGTCTTACAAGCAAGATACGGCCGCTCAGCACGACCCTCCTTTTCTCCCTTGAAATTACTTAGGCGAGGACTCCAGCCTCCTTTAGCGCACGGTGAGCGTTGCACGCGTGCTTCTTGAGGCGCGGGTCCTCAATCTTCTGCCACTCTTGTACCAGTGCCAAAACCCGTCCAGCGTTCTCGGACTTGGCAAGCTCATCGTGGTACAGCGGACAAAGGGTCTCTACCACGTGGAGACTCTCTCGCTGCACCTCTGGCTTGACGTCGGCACCGCCGGCAGCAAGGTCGACGATAAACTGCCAGCCATCAGATTGCACAAATATTTGGCGGCATTGAGGGTGATCACAAAGCCGTGCGAGCGCGGCGCTCACTAACCGGGAAACGTTGTCATTCTTGGACTGACCGAGCGTTACGAGCTGCGGCACGAGGCCGGCCATTCCGGAGCGGGTCTCCTCGACGGTAGACATGGAGATGGCACCAAGCACTCCTTGCATCTGTGCGTCAGCGTACTTGCTCTCAAGTAGACCCTTGAGCGCCGAGACGCCGTCCTGAATGCTCTCGGGCGAGAGCGGCAGCTTGGGGAGCGGCTTGGGGGCGGCACGCTTGACACCGTTGCTGGTAGGAGTCTTTTCGCTGAGCAGCTGGCTGCGACGGAAGAAGCTCTTAAGCTCATGGTAGAGGTGCATAAGGGCTGTGATGTCGCCTTCGCGACGCTGCACTTCGACGACGTACTCCTCCTTCGTGGTCTTGAAGATGACAATGTTGAGGCTGACGCGCTGCGTGTTACGACGGTACTCGACCTTCCACTTACACTTGTCAGCCTTGAACTCGAAGTCCGTGTCCAGCTCGCAGAGCTTGATTCCCACGACGCCACACACACGCTGCGTGGACTCAAGCTTCACATGGAAATGCGTGTGCATCTCGAGGCGAAACGGCGCCGGCGGCAGGTCGCAGGGTGTAACGTTCACGTACTTAGTGCGGTCCACGCGCATGCCGAACGACGACGAGGTGGATGCGCTCTCAGACTTCTTGGACATGGGCTTCTTCGAGGCCATATTGAGCGACATGGGTCCAGGGAAGGCGGCGCCTAGCTGTTCGAGAGGGGAGCGCGCACCCATCGTACTGAAGGCCGGCGGCGCGGACGCCACGGCCATGGAGCGGAACTGCAGCTGGTCCGGCTGGTCATTGGGCGTTAGCGTGCGGAACACCGGCTTCTCCTCCTGCTTCTGGTCGTCCTTGTCTTGGCGAGGGCTACTCATGCTTCTTGCGGCCTGGGAGAGATATCTGCGAATGAGCACGAGGAGTGGCGCTTTTGCAGCGCTAAGTTGCTTATAAACCTCTTTACATTAATTTATTTCTGTATTATGGAGGTTGTTCTCCCCGGCTATGGGCTCCAGACGGGGCAAAAGAACTTTCTCTAAGCTTCAACAAAGAATGTTCCGATGGCCTAACCTCGCTGGATTTTATAAATCGCAGTGTAAAACGGGGGCCTCTTCGTCGAGGCTCGCTCCAAATACACTTGCTGCTTCTCTTCCTATGGCCACGTAGACGCATACTCTGTCACGGAGTCACGCGATAGGGTTTTGGCGACGTGCATAAGGTACATGTATTAATAGCAACGTTGATGGCCGTAGCTTCGCGCAACCTGACAGCCGGTTTGTCGGCTTGCGAGAAAGCAGTCGACACTGACCGTTTGTAAGCAACGCGGGCCGCGTCCGGTTTTGGCGCGGTTTCGGAGCTGCCAACTGACTCGATTTTTGCATGCCTCTTGTCGTGCACATTTGTGGCTTCTGGGGCACCACCAATTTCCGGTAAGAACGTGGCTTGCATGTGAGTGCAATGCATGTAATTCTTCTCGCAAAACCGTTTTTTCGAGGTGCTTTAATGTCTGCTTAAACTTAAAATATCTAAGCTGTTATTCATGACTTTTTTTTTTAAAAAAGGTCTGCTAAAAGCAAGCATGGCGTGAACTACTGTGTTTGAGCTAATAACTCCTATTTTGCTAGCATATATACTGGTATTGAGGCCAGCGTATTGAACGTGCCTGCGCTCCTATGATAGTTACGCACTCTGAGCTCGATCTAATCCTGCGGCCTCCTCGTTCATGCTCGCCGGAAGCATTGCTTTCCGAGATCAGCACAATATGTATTAGAAAATATTCTATATTTAGCAGCGCTTTAATTTGAGGCTAGAGTTTTTGTGAGCAGCTCCATACTATTAATATTAATACAAACACAGTCCAACCAAAGGTATTCTTACTAGAAGAAACCTTAGAGCACTCATCTATTTGTGCCATATTCTACGCATTACTATTTAAGCTGCTTTTGATTAACTTTTAATTTGTTATTTATGTACAGATCTGCTTAAACACGAAAACTAAGTCAAGTGCTGGTCACGTTGGTCTGTCTAACAAATTCAAACACATTGCATATTGGGTACGTAAGACCGACAACAATTTTTCACTTCTGCATCTCAACCTCCTAAAATAAAAAGGAAATGCATTTGCTAACTTGTGCAAGTTTTATTTTTAACTTTTTTAAAAGAGAAATTAGCAAATTCATTTCCTACACTGCTATTTTCTGCATTTTAAATGTGTCTGTAAATACTACCGTTAGTCCGGTATTCCACATCACCCGGGAATCCTCGGCGTGAGCCTCGATCCTGTTGGTTTGAGTTCAGGCTCTTCAAAAACGCGTGGAAACCTATCTGATCTGGTTGCCCAAGAAAGAACGTTTTTAAGGGTTCTCTTCAACGAATTAGTCATAAAGATCACTAGAATGCGCTGGGAAAATTCTTTTTTCTAAGATACATATTGGACAGCTCGGTAAGGTCAACTTCAAAGCCACCGCGATCATCCCTGCATCACGCCGCTCTCTTCGAGCGTCTGTCGAGCGGTCACCGGAGGCCACCGCCACCCATTGGCAGCAGCAGCCGCGCTAGCAGCACCAAAAGCTGCAGCTTGCACTCCTCATCCAAATCACGGCGAGTTCCTCGCGGATTGGCGCGCGCCAAACGGCGGCGCTGGCGGTGTCTCTCGACAAGTCCGCTGATTTATATTAGCGTGCGTTGCCGGCGCGAGCCCGACCAGAACGCGCCGCGGCCAGTCGTGGAGGCCAAGAAACTTCGCGAGCGGTTTCCCTCGTGGTTTGTGTGTCGCGGGTTATTTTGGACAACGGGCTCAGCTGCGGCGGAAATGGTGAGGACTGTGCCAACTGGTTGCAGTCAAGTGACGTGGCCGCTCAAGTATTTCTGCTCAGCTGCTGTAACGGTGCAAAAAAAACATCCGAGTGGTAAAAGTATCTTGACGTTGCGAGTTAGGCTGAGTCTAGCAACGGCATTGAACGACGCAGACCCACTATCTAAGGAGATTGTCAACGAAATGTGTCGCCTTCCGGTCTGCGACCTTTGACTATAAGTGTTGAAAGGCTTTCAACCGCTCGTGGTGAATCTTATTAATACCACTGGTATTACCAGTGCTTCATTCTGTATGATTCCTACCCGCAAAAATACCTAAGTCGAGTGTCGATATGCGTTGAACCTCGTCTGGGGTCGAATTGGCATCAACAGTCTGCAACGTACATCGGATTTTCAGCTGAAAACCATTATTAATAACAGTGACGTCTGCTATCCGACAACGACAAGAGGTCAAGTAGCATTTGCGTCGCTTCCACAAAGTCAAGTCAAGTGCAGTTCGAGACTGTTTAACAGACAAGTGCGAACAGAGAAAATGGCTCAAAGCGGGCCGACCGCCCTCCCGTCCAAGGCGAGGTCTTTCGTAGCGGCATCCAGCGGCAGCCAATTACCCGTCTCACCCTCCAACAAGAAAAAGTCGGCGGTGTACTGCGTGGACGAAGAGAGGGGTCCTTCCAAAATAATTCCTCAGCAAACATTGGACGAGGAGAGCGATGCCAAACTTTTCAACGCCAAGAGGATGCTGATCGCGGTCTGGATGTGCGTTGGACTGATGCCATTGCTCCTGCAAACGAGAAGTTACCTGAAGTTCGTGACGCCGCACAAGATTTCACAAAGCCTGATCGTGCCGACAACCGCTACGAAGCGCACCGATGACATGGCGACACTTTGTCCTTTGGAAGGGCTCGTGATTGCTGGTGCGTGGTGGAATGTTCTAGCCACGCACTATTACGAGCTGGAAGACGACAGAGTGTGCCATTTCGTGGTGCCCCAGTACAATATCCACGGCAATTATGTTCTGGGAACCACGCTAGTTGCACCCTCGGCAACAAGTCCTGCTAGTTGCTCGGGAAACTGCTACTATCTGGAATATTACTTCTACCACGGAAGCATCGGCTATTATGCTTTCTACGAGGAAGCCGTAGGTACATTTTGTGCCGACGATAACATTGGTTACGTGCTAGTCCGCGGCCTTGGTACCTTCGACAGCAACGGTGCGCATTTGGCTCATGATTCTGGCGATTCGACGTACCGATTGTCGTATTGGTATGGGTTGTTCGGCCCTCTTTGGATCATGTATCGCTCCATCTTGCTTCGTAGGAGCTATAAATCATGCAAACGCTACGGGCGACGATGCGATCGCTTACAAGAACCGATGCTGTTCAAAGATTGTGTCGTGTTTGTTCAAGAGAGCATGCGGCTGTCAGCACACGGGGCAAGGAACGTTCACCGAACTATACTGGTTTATCTACTAGTGGAAGGTTTGATGAGCGACTTGTTCATGCTGATCGCACAAGACGGACTTCTTGCCAAGGTGCAATATATCTCCCTCGGATACAACTTGTCAGGAGTCCTGTCAATGCTGTTTGAAATGGTGGAGACGATGAACTGGATGCGAGAAACTGTGCGTTGTCTGATTAAGCGCTTGCTGTTTAACTATGAGACAGCATTGCTCGGTGAGCTGGTATGCTCGGCTGCGATGCAGTTCTATCTCACCGGACTCAATAAGTCTAGCCTTCAAGAATCCAAGCCGGTTGCCGATGCCGTGTCATACTACGTGTGGAGTCTCGTTGGACACGGCATTATCGTGCTTGGAATCGTGTTCGTGATAACCTCAATTCGGTCAATCGGAGCGATCATCACTGTGCGATGGACATTTGGGTCTTTCTCTCTGCTGTGGACGCCCTGTTGTGTCGATACTGCTATAGGACAACGGTGCAAGATGATTTTGCTGAGTGGATATGTATGGGAGGACGATAGGCTTTGCTACAAGGCTGAAACGCTCAAGTCTTTTGGGATAATGAAGATGGTGGAGGAGGACAATACACATTTTATAGTGCTTCACAGACTGTATTGGCTAGCGATTCCTCACGGCGACTTGATGGTGATCGGGGAGATTCATGGGAATAGTGTGAAGCGTTGCGAGGTGAGACCGTGCACAGGCATGGTGAGCATGATTGGCAAACCGTTAGGGGGTGCTCCAGGAGAAAATTCACTAAGTTGCCCCACTCGGGTAGTTATAAAGCAGCGAGTGCCCGTCGAACCATCACAAACCTGTTAAAAGCAAACAAGTTGCTCATTTTTATATTTGTTTCTATTAATACGACTTTGTACATGTTGTCGCTCCGAAAATGTAAATGGACGCAGCAAACAATTTCACATTTTATTTAACGGAATATTCGCAGTGGCCCACAGCGGAAGGCGCTTATTGATCAACCTTTATATAGCGTTTACGACGCCAGAATTGCTTGAACCGGTAGTGCTCCAGGAGCACTACCCGTTCAAAGGTCGCAAATAGTTCAAAACCACGGCCCGCTCTTAATAACTTAGAGTTTTGAATGGTCAAGTTTGGGCCAATCAAAAATAGCGATCAGCTAGCCCAAAACTAAATTTCGCTGTACCGGGCAAACAATCGTTTTCTTGTTTAATATTTCTGCTGGCAAGCAACCTCTATTGTTAAAAGGTGCGAGGGGCCCGAGACGTAGCCAAAGCGATTGATAAAAGAAGACAAGCAACAATAAAAATATTCAAACTCTCATCCTCTGGTGAACTTGGCCAGCCATAACCAACCGGGTATCTTACCGTACCCGTCCGTTTTTTGTAAAAGCAAATTACGCTTGTGACCTCTGGGAAGCACTGCGTCCATGCGCTAATTTTACACATACCATTCATTCGAGCCAACTGCCCCCCTTGCATTGAAGTCTTGTATCTTCGGTGTCCTCACACGCTATCAGTCGGTTGGTAAATCGGACGTTTTTGCGACTCGTAAATTGCTTGCGCAGAGGGTGGGGAAGCGAAAACCATCATGTCCGAGTCGAGCCCAAGAGTCCTCGGACGGCCAAAAAGAAGCACAAGAAACAATCCTCCGCCACTGTTGCAGCTGTCAACACCCCGAATGGAGAGCCTTCAGCCTATGCCGGTGAACAGCACTCGTTCGGTAGAAATGCTGATGGTGGCACCGATAAAGTCCACCGCCGGTCGTTAATCCAGCACAACCAAGAGGAAGAGAACAATACCAAGCCTCAAGATAACAAGGAGTTCGACTTTGTGTCACCCCGAACAAACGCTAAGACGGGACCTCGCTTCGATGCTATCGCTGTGTTGGTCGTCATGTCCTTCAAGGTGCTTGTAGCACCGATCATTCTAGTAGCAATCTGTGTGAACTCGCCGTACCTGCAGTCGCCGTACGTCTTCCGCGCAGCTAGTGAAAGTTTTTTAGGCTACGAAAAGCTGAACCCCGATGTCACCTACGATTGTCCTGATTGTGGTGTCACGTGCAAGCAATCGGTGCTACAGCTAGCGCAATTCAAACAAGACCCCATGATGGGGAAGCCGGCTTATGGCAGCTTGCGTACTAACACGTTTGAAGACTACAATGAAACATTAAGTGCTGCTGCTCTAGCGTTGATTGACGAGCTGGAGAGCGCTAACGCAGTGTGGACGACTCGCTCACGTTCATATCGGCTGAACCAAAGCTAATTGTGAAAGCCGTGGACGCTCTCAAACTTCCGGTTTCCAATGATATGATTGCAGAAGTTACTGCTGCTGTTACGAGCTCGTGCAACTCGCGCTGGACGATTGAAGCTCGACTTAAGACTTTCATGTTCCAGCCCATTCCACACATCAACGAGTGTGGGGTGCCACAGCTTCAGTAGCTTATGTCTTGAGAACGCGCCACAACCCCCACCCAATCAAAGATCTCGTGTCATGGCTCGTCTCATGGAAGGTTGCTTTTCAACTCACTCTTCGACCCCCACCCAAAACTAAGCCAAAGGCGCTCTCCCATGGAGCTTCAATTGTAAATCTAACCGATGCGACGTCGTTCGAGTGCTACTGCATTGGCGAGCATTTCCGGTTCATGTTCAACGACTGCGAGGATATTTCCCATGTGAAGAAGAACAACCTTCGAGTCCCGACAGCAGAGGCTGTGCTGCTGTCCGGCTTTGTGTACCGTGGCAAGTATCTATACCGCGCAGACGATATCATTCTGCTTCTCTTCACACGATTCGCACCAAACTTCATCTTGAGGACTTTCAACGTGCTGATCGTTCGTTGGGACGTGAATCCGACGACATATGCAGTTTCCCGTCCTACAGTCTGCTTGTGGACGGAGGTGGGCACAGACTGGAGGAACAAGACGAAGCCATTCCCGTCGGCGTAGAGCTATAGGAAAGTCAATTCAAGCCATTTCTCGCTAATAAATACCTTTCATTGCCGAGTTGAAGTTGCACTTGATTGAAGTGACCATCACTCCTATTCCGCACTCCTTCAGGCGCTTCATTCTCCAAGTTGCCGGCTAGCCATCAAGTGCACAATGGAAGATGCAGCCCCTCCTCGTGTTGAGCTTAATGAGCGCACGGTCAAACGTCCGCGGTTCACTGTCCCGCCTCCTGATGGAGCTGTGGCCTTTGCCACAGCTGCGCGTCCCACTAGTTTTTTGTCGAGTCGTGGGGGATCGCGAGGCTCCACATCGACTGAGATCAATACTCGAGCTTCGTTTCTCATTGCGGCGGTGGCAGAGAATCGTGCCCGTGAAATAGGTGAGTACACTTGGTGACCATGGGCAAGGAAAAATACGAAAATCAAGTTGCTTATGCCATTCTCAGGGATCTGTGCCATCGACTTGGTGTCGCCACACGAGCTACTACTGTGGACGATTATCGACTCGCACTCTTATGTGGACACAATTGCACTACTGAAGGCTTATCAGGTGAAACTAAGTATTTACACTGAGATGGTTGGGAGAATAAGGCGATGATTTCTTTTTGCTTCTAGCCTGTGGAAATTCTCGTGGTGGAAACGTTCAAACCTCACAAAATCAACGAAGAGATCTCCAAGCGCTTCACCGGTTCCGATTGCCGAATTGTTCCGGTTGCACGGAAGTACTTTGAGTGAGTGGAAGGAGGTCGGCAGCTTTACAGGATGGTGATTACAAACGATATGCGTATGACAAACAGTCAGACCAAAGGAGCGGAAGATATCAAACGTGTGATGGCAAACAACGTTGACATCAATATTGGACGAGTAAGTTTTGTCGACCGTTTAGGCATCTACAGCTTTTTGTACTAATATTGAGTTTACGATGACAGAACTACGTCGCCATGGCCTCAGTGGCGTGTATAATGAAATACATCGAGTATATTCAGGGTGTCTACATCGCTGAGAGCAGCATGAAGGTACTTTCACCATTCATGTTTAATGAAGGCAGTTAACAATACAACTGAACTTTTCTTCATCGAAACTGGCAGGTGGTGCTTAGTCCATCGACACGCAAGCTACTTATGGACCAAGCTACGATTTCCTCTCTTGAGTTGGTTCAAGGCACGCGCGGAAGAAAAGATAATCTGGTACGTATAAGAAACCCAAGGTTGTCTCGTTGCAGCCAGGGTACTTACATATTCGTGATAGTCCGTGTACAAGATGCTCAACAACGCACAAACCTCGGCTGGAAATCGACTTTTACGGTCAACGGTAATAGCCCAACCCAAAACTCTCCAATCTACCTTACTAATCATTTCGGACTGTAGATTCTGCAACCAACACGTCACCTGAAAACAATGTATGACCCTGTCTATAGGTCTTACATGATGCTGCCTAACTCTCACATTTTTATATGAGTCAGTCAGGCACGCCAAGAAGTTATCGGGATTTTCCTCGATAACCCTGCCTGGTTTTTCGATGTGCAGGAGGAGCTGCGTGGTTTCGTTGACTTGGATCGGCTACTGGTGAGTTTCTAGGTTTATTTCAGAAATCAGCGTATAAAGTCACGAGTTTTGATCGCTTTCCTGGTCATAGAGTCAACTTGTGTTCGTTCCGAAAGTCATCACTCCTCGCGTTTCAAGAATCGCCATCGGCAGTGTGATTGCGCTGAAGCACACTCTAGATTGCTTGCCGAGATTGGTCACATCCTTGGAGACAACCTCGATAAAGCTGGATCGACCCTGTCCACTGCTCAACTCGGTAATTCAGAGGTACCTTTAACTCATGACATGCTCGATGTGAAATATTAATGCTAATAGTGAGGTGAATGCAAAGTCTGCGCGACGAGCGATTTGCAGGGATCAAGAAAGACATTGAGCGTGTTGTAAACGACAGGCATGTTCTATATTTTTATGGCCACGAGTTATCGCTCCCTAACTCACGAATCTGTCGATAGGGTGAAAATTTGTCAACCGGCTGCGCAGAAACGCATACAAGAATGCTTCGCTGTCCGAGCAGGAGTCGATGGAATGCTTGACGTTGCACGACGAACCTACCTAGACACAATTGAAAAGATCCACGAAATTGTACACGTGTACAAGGAAAACCTTGGAATCCCCATGCGGCTCAACTATACGTAGGCTGCTGCGTTCAACCAGGAATCGTGAAACTGATATGCGGTACTGATCTTCTTAGTTGCCATCAGAGCGAGAAGGGGGTATCATTTGGCCATCCCCGTCAATGTGAAAGATTTACCTGCGAGCTTCATCGAGAGGGTGGCGGCTAAAACAGGTAATCGAACACTTTTGTTTTGGAAAGTTGGCATGTTGCTTTTGACTTGTGTAATGCTTTACATAGTGATCTGCTGCTCCACTAGAGCACTTGTTTCGCTGAACGTGAGGCTCAACGAAGCACTTACTGCCGTCTACAAGCTATCGAATGATGTAATCCAGCAGCTACTCGACAAAATCCGCCCTCGAGCCTCAACCATGCACGCGATGGTCGAAAGCATTGCACTGCTGGATATGCTGCTCAGGTACAGCTCGCCGAATTTTTTTTTCTAGTAAATTGGATACGCTGTTAACCTATGCCTCCAGCTTTGTGAACGTCGTAGCCCTCTCGCCACCAGATCAGCCATGTGGGTCTTTCACTGCGGAATGTAGCACTATGTGTACACGTATTTTACAGCTCTGCGTGTGGTTCTTTAGACACGCGGCCGACTGTCACCGAGCATGGCAACATGATCATAAAGAAGGGTCGACATCCGCTCGTTGAGCGTGTTCTGAAAGACCAAGCGTACATCCCAAGCAACTCCGTAAGCACTCGGCTCTCTGCTTACACTATCCCGTTAAACTAACTGGTGCTTTTTTTTGTGTGTAAGTTTTTCGATCCCGTGAGCACCTTCCACAGTAAGCGATTCCTATACGAGAAGCAAAACCTCACCGTCTTTTAAGCTAACGTTTTTCTGTGATAGTTGTTACTGGCCCGAACTGCGCAGGAAAGTCGACATACCTAAGGGCAACAGCATTGATAACAATTATGGCCCAAATGGGGTGCTACGTTCCTGCTTCGAAAGCTATCATTCCGATTCGGGATCGAATTTGTACTAGATTCGGGACATCGGATGACATGGAAGAGAATGCCAGCACTTTTGCTGTCGAGATGACCGAGACGGCTTTCATCTTGGAAGCAAGCACGCCGAAATCGCTGATACTGATCGATGAACTGGGTCGAGGGACATCCAACGACGAAGGTGCCGCGATCGCATGGAGTATCGCCGAGGAAATTATCGACCGAGGGTCATACACGTGCTTCGCGACTCATTATCACCAACTCAATCGCCTTGCTCAGATGTATCCTCGCTGCCGGTGCTATCACATGGGGACTGAATCAAACACGGTGCGTCGAAATTCCAAATGTGGTCTGAAGGTACATGCTTACTAATATTACCTCTTGTACCAGAGCTCTGTGAGCTTTCGTTACATCTTAAAAGATGGTCCATTCCCATCGACCGGCATGTATGGCATCAAAACCGCAGCACTATGTGGATTGCCGGCAGAGTTGATTCGTGAAGCAGAACGCACCTATGAGAAGTTGCGAAGCGACCGTGAGGCTGCAGAAACCGCAACCAACCAAGACTCCGCAACCAATGATACCAGCAAGATCAACAGAAATCTGTTGCACCATTTGTACGCGCTTCGATACGCTGACCTGGACAATGCTGGTATTGTGAATTCGGATACAAGCCTACTTGTCATGATATTAACTAATTGCTATGTTGCCAAGGGCTTCGACGCCAACTCCAGTATCTTCGCAACCGATTTCTAGTCCCAGCAACAGAAAACGAGTAAAACAACTCGTTTCTCTCTCGAAGGTTTTACTTCATTGCTCCTCGTCAGCAAATACACATTTCTTGGAACTAGCGAGGCAGTCACAATGTCGGCTTAAAGTATCTTCCATGGTGTATCTCAGCTTTAAGTAGTGCTGAATGTGGCAGTTGTGAGCGCATCCAACACACACGGTGTCGAGTTGGCATGGTCCACATTGATATACGATGCGAAAACTGTCAGATGTTAGACATTCATACTCCGGCAACGAACGGCAGGTACTTTCAGCTAGATCAAATCACGAATGACAGTAAAGGTACCGTATTAGCTTGCATTTGTCGATTGTGATGGCTGCTTAACTCACCTGCGCTTCCTCCAAGCGGGCGAGATTTTTCTCGTTCAATTGCTGTGCGCCAAATGATAGTTAATTCGACGGACTGGATGACACTGAACTATGGAGTACTTACCTCGGTCTCCCCAAACAAATGTTCGTCCTCTTCCCGCGCGGGCACTGATCAACGATAGACCTGGAAAATCAATCTGCAGCAACATGGTCCGCTAAAAAGAATATTGGCCTATATCGATCACTGATGAACGTACCTGGGTGGGAAATAAAATGGAGGTGGTGGACGCGTCTGGGTCGGGGATCTCATAATCACCGTGAATGCCTTGCCCCCACAGCCAAAGCTGTCGTGCTTCAGAAAGTGCTAACGAGTGACGTTGTCCTGCATCGATAAAGCGAATATTTTCGCGTCGAATTTCGTCGACTGATCTAGGAATTAGAGCGTCCCAAGTGTCACGGTGGCCTAAAAACCAGTATTGACTTCAGATCTACAGTAGAGGAATCGGCAGCATTTTCAAGCACCATACCTAGCTGTCCGTAGCTACCGCATCCCCATGACCAAACGCAGACACCTTGAGGCATTTCTATCTCAAAGTGTTGGGTGTCAGGCACGTACCGTTAAGCATTTTTTTTCTACGTTGTAGTGCATACCTGACGTTGCTAGGTTGTGGGCTCCTCCAGCTACAACATTAATGACTTTCTACAATTCAAGATGTAAGTTTTCAAAAGTTGATACATGGAGTAGCATTTTACTCACGCGTCCACGGAAAAAGTTAACACGTGTTGGATTTAACCGAGTAAGTTCGTCGTTGTGGCCTAACCGACTTCGAGAGAAAAAAAACGTAAGTTGAAAAATAATTTCTAGGAAGCTTACAGGCGAGCTTTGCAGTCAAAAGCGCATGTTTCCCAAGTCCCCAAGAGTAAACCTGCCGATTAAAGAAGGATTCGCCAGTCGTGACAATTGAATGCTCATCACCAGCTGAAACGTGAACAACGTTAAAGCCATCGAGGCTCGTAATTCTAGTTGGAGATAAACGAGGAAATGTGTCTCCTAAAGTGGAGTCAGTTGCAGTACAAATTCGCAAGCAAAGCAACAGTATTCATACCCAAGCCAAGCTTTCCGCTGCTGCCGTCGCCAAAGGCATAGACACCGTCCATTTCTGTAAGGACCAGGACGTGGTGTAAGCCAGCACTCACGCCGGTCACTCGCTGTGAATTGAAAATCTTTAAAACACGAGGAACGGAGGACGACTCATCGTCACCATGACCTAACACTCCGTAATCACCTCGACCCCATGAAAAAACTAACATGACAACACGAAACAACAATAAATCGAGGTTTCGAGACAGTACGTAGTGCATCTACACGTACGATTGTTCACAGCTGCAGCCTTCGTAGCATAGTCCATTTGTGCATGGGCGGGCACTCGATCTCGGGCCATTCTCTCGATCGACCCGAGTCGCCCTAGGTTCTGCCGTCCATCCTTTGAGGTTGGTCGCTCTTGAGATTCAGAATTGGGAAGCACTGAAACAGAGCAAGTTAAAAAACGCTAACTGCTCAAATATGGTAAGTATTATAAAGACGCACCAACAAGGGCAAACGAAGCAAACCCACTTGCAGCAATAATCTTCACGATTCCTCCACCGGTTAATCCAATTTCCACTTTGGCTGGCGCAGATATGCTTTTGTTGACCAGATTAGATACCCCGAGGGCCCCGTATGTATTGTCGCCACTTGAAAATACGGCAGCGGACTCTAATAGCATAGCTGAAATGTCAGCAAACGTGGATATTTGGCTGCTTATAGCATGTTCAGTCCCTACCGCCCAGCATAAGAGTGTGGTATTTCCCTGATGCAACCTAGAGAGGAAGAAGAAAATCACACAAAAGTTACTATGAAGCAGCAGCGTTAACAATTAGTATGGCGAACCCACAGCGACGAACTTGGCATCACGTTTGATCGTCAAAACCCGTTTCTTGGAATCGTGGACACGAATCATCTCTTGAATGGATGGCGTTAGTGTCGGTTTGGTTATGGTCGCCGAACCCTCTGAGTACAGACACTGGCGTTCTGCATTTCCCCAAGTGTATTGCATCCACTGGTCTCTAGGCCCCACAATTGCAGTATTGACATCTCCGATCCGCCACTCTTGCTTCCGTTGAAGTAAGCAATCATTGCAAAAGCAACCTGACTGCCCGACAATGTGGCGGATCTCCTACTCACCATAACAAGACAATTGGCTTAGAAGATATCCTCAAACTAATAAAAGCTTGAGCAGGGATATTGATCCGGAAGTGTAGACATTTCCTTACGCGTGCTGCTATTGCTCGCTGAGCTGCCACCTTATTACCGGCAGAGAAGTCTTGGCGACAGCTTTCGATGTCGCTTTGGTTACGGATTCGGCGCTTCAGTACCGCATGAAATCCGTCCAAATCACCAGGTAGCTCCATTCTTTAAGATGAAAAGGCGTCAACTGTCAAAATTAGCGACCCTAACCCCGCCACCATAAGTGCTGACTGCACTTGGTATTACTGTGCTAGTGCGCTTGTTCCACTATAAAATTCGATTTCTTAACGATTGAATTATTACGGGATCGGAGCTGTGATCACAACTGGAATACTTAGCAGTGAATTCTCGATAACTTCATTCGCGTCTTCATCAAATCTCTCCGTGTCCATGATGAATCGTGCTGAAATCGTCGACATCGAAGTACCAGGATTAACGACGAGCTGCAAGTAGCAAAAATCCACGTCAGGATAATCAACATTTCAGCTGATGACGACATGCCTCCAATAGTGCTGACTTACCGGAAGCTTTATCTTGATTAGATTTCGAGTAGCTTGAATTAGCATCGAGTTGTGTTCGTCACCGTTAGCGCCGAAAAGCGGTTCATCGTCGATGAACGCATCTGCAAGATTCGGGTCTTCATACGGCCCAACGATGATCGGAGTCAAATCCTGCAGTACGATCTGTATCAACACCAAGGTTAATTGCTACAGCCCAATAGAGACGCCTTACATGTTCAACATACCTGTCCGTTCTCGAGAGTGTCCCCTTCTTCGGCTTCAGAGGTCTCAAGGACAGATCGAAAAGTAATGCGAATGGCATCGTCCAGTGGGTTCTCCACGAGAAGAACGCATTCTACACAATCAGTGCCATCAACACGGTAGGGCAGTCGCTGGAACGTAATGACAGGCACGTAGTGCGCGGCCAAGTTGGCCTTCTTGAACCAAGACGCCGACACGGGCAACGAGCTATCTCCACTCATAGGACTGATCTGTGGCTTGACGAGGATACCAGCTGTACCTCGCTTAATCGACTCTACACACCGCCATGTGCGCTTTACACGCAGCAGTGGCCGAGACGGGAAGAGCTTGTCAGCGTCCCGTGACTGATCCAAAGGATTCAGCAGTCGTTGGTGCAGTGTCGACACCTCCCCCATTTCACGTTTCTGCGACAGGTTTTCTAGCATTTCGCGAGTCTTCTCAGGCGTGTCCTGACCCCATGATGTCCCTTGGATCTGCAAAGCCGCAAGCTGCTTCGTCAGTTCCGGCCATTGATGCTCACGTCTCTGTTGTAGCAGCCATTGCTCCTTCTCCTGCACCTTAGCCAGTGCCTGGTCGTATTTCCAGCCTCCCATCTCCGACATCCTTTGCAGTCTGAATTTCTTCATCTGGTGCTCACGCTGCAGCTCCTTCATCGAGTCTGCCAGCAGTTGCAGCGAGCTGCTGCGTCCAAAAGATACCCCAGAACTCGACGACAGCGCAGTAGCAGCGCCCCCATTGGTCGAAGAGCTCGACAGCGTCGCGTAGTGTGAGTGCAATGTCTGGAAGACGTCCTCGTGGGCAGCTTGACGCTCGCGTGTAATTGCAGTCATGATCAGCGCGTCCGGGTCGTCATCGACCAGTCCCAGCTCTAGCGAGTCCCAACGACAGTGCCCACATAGGAAAAAGTAGCGCTGCTCGTGAATAGCAGTGGAGAGCGCTGTCTCGCACGTTGGGCAGCTGAAGCAGCGGCTCGAGCGGTTCTGATACATGGACGCCTCTTTCGACGGCAGATTTACCAACAGGTTCCCGCAGTAATACGACTCGAACTCCTCCACGCTGCATCGAGGCAAGCGGCAGACCAGTTTCTCACACGTTTCGCTGAAGAAAAGCGAGCTCACGGGCGCCAGGTGACCGCACTTGCACGCGTAGCGCACACACACACCGTCCACAACGTCACCGTCCGACATGATCTTGAAAGTGGCAGCGCAAAGCACCCCACAATAGTGACATAAAGTGAATCGCGGATCTCCAGTCGCCTGAATAAGGAACGCCAGATATAAATTAAGAAGAGAGTGGGTATCTTGCCCGACTGGGATTGCCCTTCCCCTACGCATCCCTTTCTCTTACCGAGCTGGTTCATCCGTACAACAGTATACATCGTATACCACCGTGAGCCACACAATTCGTTAACGGGGAGAGCGTGAGCGATAAGCATGGATCTCCGCACGCGCGCAGCGCAAAAGCGCCCTCTTACTCATTCAGCTGAGTGGTAGTCCGATGAGAGCGAGGGTAATAGTTCGGATGCGCCTCCTGCTGACGTCTGGGCGCCTTCCCCCGTCGTGAGTGAGCTTAATACGACACATATTCCGTTGGAGCCAGTGAGCTGCTCCGATCCGCCGGAATCCACCAGCAGCACAAGCGAAGGTGGTAGCTCCGTCCGCGTACTCGCCTTGGCGCCTAAGAAGGTTGAGTTTCCCTCCTGGGAGGTGTTTGAAGATTATCTGGCCGTATACCAAGCACAGACGTTCCAGGCACGTGTTTTCTATAGCTGTGTATATACGTTTTGGCTGACATGCACTATGAATTTATCTGTAGATTTTAAGGGTGAGGACAAATACGACTGGGGCAGAGCGCAACGCACGGATCGACCGCACAAAGTCAAAGGCGGAAAAACTTCCTGACGAGTGGGTGCAATACGCAAAGACCTTTGTTTGCACCTATTCCGGGAAATTTAACTCCCAGGCCACGAGCAAGAGACCCCGGCAGGAGTCTAGGATGAAAGGATGCAATGCCCAGGTAAAGTGAATGATCGGGCTCGGTCGGGCTCGGTCGGGCTTGGTCGGGCTTGGTCGGGTTCGTTCGATCGGGATTGAGACTTGTCTGGTCGTGATGGAAATCCAAATAAGGTCTTACCACTCTCTATGTGATTGATTATGTGTAGATAAATGCCTGTGTTCAGGTGGTGGATTCTGAGAAGATGATCTTCGCTGTGAGGATAACGAGATGCCGACTGGAACACAATCATCGGCTTTCGAACCATTCGTTTAGAGCACATCCAACAAATCGTCTTGTACTGAATGAGGATGCTTTACAGGCAGTGGATGTACTTCGACAGGCTGGTGCTAAGAAGTCGAGTATCATGAAGTACATTACGGAAAACTCGGACAGCAACCCGACTTCGCAGGATGTCCACAATCTTATTCGTAAGTTGAAGGCTCGGGAATTGCGAGATGGCCCGAGCACTAGTGAAAAGCGGTTGAAGAAGTGGATGAAGCAATTTGGTGACCGCCCTGGTAATGTTGGTCGGATTTTCCTCGACGATATAAATCAGAAGGTAACTGGTGTGAATAATTTGGGTTGAATTGAAAAGATGAAAACTTAACTCTATGTTTATCGTGTTTTGAACATACAGAAAGTGGCGACTTGCATCACCCTGCAGACGAATCATATGAGGACTCTGTTCGAGCAGTTTCCTGAAGTTCTTTTGATTGACGCCACCCACGGAACGAATCGGTCTAAGTACAAGGTCTTTTCGTTTATGGCTCATGACACGTTTGGTAAGGGGCAGTTCGTCCAGCACGCTTTGCTTCAAAACGAGCGGTACACTACATTACTGACGGCGCTGGAGGAATTCAAAGTTAATAATCCAGCGTGGAAAAGGCTGCAGTGTGTTCTTGTGGATAAGGATTTCACGGAGATCTCAGTATTGAAAGAAGCTTTTTCTGGAGTGACTATTTTGCTCTGCCAATTTCACGTACTGAAATACCTACGTGAAGAAATTGCCTCGGCTGACTATGGATTTTCGAAGACCCAGAAGGAGAAACTTGGAGGTGCGATGAGTTTACTGGTGTACGCAAAGACTGAAGCAGAATACGAGAAGCATTTGCGGTACATGGTCCACCTCGCGTCAATTGGCTATTACGTCCCAGCGTCTAATGTGCCGGAGCCAACTGGGAGTGAGCCGAACTTAGACGGCCGTCAATCAGGGTCAGTCGGGGGTGAGTCTGGTGCAGTCGGGGGTGAGTCTGGTGCAGTCGGGGGTGAGTCTGGTGCAGTCGGGCATGCGAAATCGAGTACAGACCAAACGCCAACGAGAGAACCCGTTCGATGCGACGAAGAACATCCATTTGTGGCGTATTTCCGCCGGAATTGGGACAACTGCCGTGAGATGTGGTGTGCGTACAAGCGCCAAAATACGATTACACTCGGAAATAACACAAACAACAGGCTGGAAGCCTCATGGAAGCAATTAAAAGCGTGGGTGGATTCTTTCATGTCTGTCGATGAGTGTATTGCGTCTATGATGTACTATCAAACACTACAAGAAAAGTTGATCATCGGCGAAGTGACGAAGAACGTGAACGTACAGCACCCAAATTACGATGGCGAAATGACCTGGCTGGCAAATATTGTGAGCGAACACGCCTGTGATCTTATTTACGGGCAGTATTCTTTTGCTCTCGGACGAGCGGCGTATACCTTCTCTGAGCGGCTGCCCGGTGTGTACTTGATAAAGAGTACGTGCAAGGATATCGATGCACTGGATGAGGTCGACACAGAATACTCCGTTACAAAGTGCGACTGGACGTGCTCTTGCCTGTTCATGTGCACGCGATTGCTGCCATGCCGCCACGTATTTTACCTCCGCAAAGCCTTGGGCCAAGAAACTGTTATTCCGACCCTCACGCTAAACAAGAGATGGCTGATATCTACCGTGCGGTCGGCAATTGAAAACAACGGTACCAGTAATCACGTCTCTACACCGAAGCCGTTCGAAGTGAAGAATGTTCTGCCTGCTCGAAATCGACCTTGGGATTCAAATCGCAAGTATAGAGAAGCCTTACCTAGTGCATCCGAAATTTGCGACACTATGGCTGGACTGGGTATGGCACAGTATCAAGATGCCATGCAGTACCTTCAAGAAGTGGCAGGTCGTTTCAAGAGAGGTGAGTTCGAAGATCCTACCCGAGCCGTGGGCGAGCCCGATCCGGAGGAGCTTTTACCAGACACATCTGTACCAGCTACATGCGTTTCCGAGCCAGACGAAGAAGTCACAGCTTTCGCAACGGCAAGAGAGGAGGATAATCACATAGCAAACTTGTAAGAGCGGTCTGGTCAGTCGGGGCAGTCGGATGAGTCGGGTCAGTCGGGCCGGTCGGGCCATTGTGGAGAGCTTGGAGAGTCTTCACAAACGATTGAATCGAGCGGTATAGGCAATGAGAGTTCACGTGGAGATTGTGGAGCTTTACTAATTAACGATGAAATTCCATTAAACGCGCCCCTAGAGGCAGCTGCAGAGGACACGCCGTTTGAAATCGCAAGTCCTCCGAGGTCACGAGGAAGGCCAAAGCTAACCCCCAAAGCCAAGAAAGCAGCCCGCAAAAAAGCTGTTGATATGGCGAAAGAAGACTCGGAACTTTACGCGGCAAATTTAAGCCTTGCCACAGTTGAAAGTGTGTTATCTATCGACGCTACATACGAATCCGCGGCTGCTGTTCTCACAAAGTTCAAGATGGTTGACACAAGCTTCAAGTTTAAGGCGCCTACAGCTCGAACCGTATCCAGCCTACCACCAACGAAGCTGGTTATACAATCGGACTCTATAACGAGAATTTTACGTCCCGAACAAATTCGAACATGCAGTGGAAAAGTCGCAAAACTGCAAGCAAAATACAAAGGACTACGCGAACAGGGTGTGGTGCTGGATATTGCTGGGATTGGTTTGTATTCAACACGAATGGTGGGTATCATGAAGAAATGACACACAGCTACAAAATCCATTAAACTTATCGAGAGAGGTCTGAGTTGGGCGGAGAGTATTGATTTCGATGTCACCATGCCGCAGTCGTTTCAAGTCACAGAGCAGTCCATTCTTCCAGCAAAACTGAAGGCTATCCCCCTGCTGTCATCAAAGGTATGTATTTTGTCGCTGTACAAAATCGTTTCAGCTCATGCTAACTTTCCTTAATGTGAGTTAAGGCGGAAATACTGGACCTCATTGGGAAAACTCAACTAAGTGACGATACTATTAGCTTTGTTATGTCCTCGCTCTTCGAGTCCAAAGCCAGTATTATAACTGTGGATACAAATGTTTTCGGTCCAATGAAACATGGTGCTGTCTCAGTCCCGATGACGGTATTCGCGGACATGTTCAAGAACTTGTCGACGGAGAAAATTCTGATCCCTGTATGCTGCAACAAGAACCATTGGTGTGGTATTATGGTGGATGTGGAGCGCACAGAGGCAATCGTGTACGACCCAATGGCTTCTACATACATGATTGGAGTCCGAGCGCTTACTGAGAAGATAGTGACCCAGCTGCCAAATTTCGCCCCACGAAAGTATCGTGTCTCTCCCTATCGTGGAAATCTCGGCGTTCAGGTCGACAGTTTTAACTGCGGGATGTATGTCTTGCTGGCGTTTGAAGTGTTTGCTGGGGCCGACGGACTTAGCTACCTGAACAGAAAGGAACTACAGTATTTGCGCTATCGATACCTCTGCATGTGCGCGTAAGCCTAACAAGTTAGCAATCGTTTTACTTTAGAAAAACGTTTTTGAGTGCTAAGTTGGATCCGCTGTGAACGGAGTACATAGAATGCTTTGCCCTCTTCGTCAGATTCAGAGTCTTAATATCCGTGTATACGCGCTGGACACGTATACTTGGAGTGCGTTTCCTGTGATTGCACAACTGAACCTTTATCTAGTTGGGGTCAGTCGGGCATCCGTCGGGTTGGGTCGGGCAATGTAGCCTGACTCTTTCACATCCAGTCGGGCTAGATAACGAGTGCCAATTAAGAAAGAGATTGCATAAGCTGACAATGCCTCGCTAAAAACAGACTTTGATATCGGATCATGTGCACGTATTGAATTAAGTTAGGATAAATTAAATATATTCGACTTTTGAAAGAGACCAGAGTGATTTCAGCGGATCGTGCTAGTCCAACAGAAAATGGATAGACGAAAAAAA